GTTGATTATTTTAATTTAGTTAAAATAGTTATATTTGAAAAAAGAATTAATTTTTTTTGTAATTAGATGTGATATTTGTGAGAGGAAATATTTTAACTTATTTTGTCTTTTAGTGTTTTTTTAACCCAAAAAGCCTCTTCCCAAACACCCATATATCATCAAACATTTCTTTTATTTTAATTTTGTAACTTCATAATTACATTATAATTTTATTGGAAAAAATTTTGGGTGTGCATTGCACACCATATGCAATCCTATATAAAATTACATAAGTTTTCATAAATTTATACATAAGTGGTCTCATAAAAATGCACAAGTTCAATACAAATTCACGTAATAAGTTTTCATGAATTTGTTCAAAATTTTGTTCAATTTTTGTATTTTTTTTGTGGTCGCTTATATAAATTCAAAAAAACTTACGTAACTTTGTGCATAATTACATATGATATGCATTCCCCTAATTGTTCAAACCAACTCGCACACACCTCTAGCCACAACTGAGGTGAATTTTTTTTATATAATATGGTGACACGACTCAAATCATACATGCAGTTAAAAGTTAGAATTGACAATTTTTCGAGATGAATATGATACGATTTGATAATACAAAGATTAAAATTAATTATATATTTTAATGTTATTTTCACTAATAGATATCATAGTAATTTAAATCCATTATCTAACTCTATCCAGATAAATACAAAAATAAGTAATATAGAATTTAAAGCTAATGTATATATTTTGGGTTTGCATTTAAGAAAATGTATTTTGTCACTTATGTTGGAGTCAATCGAATTCAAATCAAACAAAAACTTAACCATATACTTAATATTTTTTTTTAAATAAATAAATAAATAAGTTAAACTAATATTAAAATAATTTTAACAGGCGCTTAAACTGACACAACACGAATACAGGTAAACAAAGTCTACCCCAATTGTAAACAATAAAGTTGCCTAGTCAAAAGGGCGAAAGGAAAGGATTTCAACACGGGAATGAGCTCACTTACACCGTCTTGTAAGTTTAGCCATCCACATCCCAGTCTCGATTCCACATTAATTCAAATATTAGATACATAACAACATCTACTTTGATGATCAACTCATCTCAAAATCATCATGGACCAACTATGCTATAAAAGTATTAGTTTTAGGTATGATTATATCTAAAATAAATAAATAAATAAAATTAATGACAAATATATAGTCCTATTTTGTGATAAATAAGGCAAAATATAATGATGGTTAGCTAAGAACATCTCCATCAAATTAGTTTAAATTTTGTTATATTTTGACTTGAAAGTTATTTTTTCTATTTTGGTTATTGTTAGCACCATAAATCTGCAATTTTATTATTATATAATTGCAGGACACGTGGCATCCTCTTATTCATTTGGAAGTTAAAAGAAGTTATAGAGATAATGGAGAATATGAAGGACAAAGTGGATGAGTGGGAAGACAAAGTGGATGAGTGGAAGGACACATGGCAAGACAAGAATGAAGATGGAAGAAATGGGTAGTTACTAAGTAGTTATTGCTGTATTTTTTCTTCTATAAATAGCCATTAATGGCTACATTGTAAAGGATCCAGAACTATAATCAAAGACAATTTATTTCAATATTTCTTGTCATTTTCCTTATTTTAGGAGTAGTTTAACATAGATTTATATTTCGAAGCATTTATTTTCAGTATTTCCATTTCGATGCATTTTATGCACTTCTTTTTCGAAGCATAGGAGTAGAGGTAAGTAATTATTACTTTGATGTTCACTCAATCGTCTTTCTCCGTCCCTCATTCTTCTTTTAATTTTTCTTTTCTCTATACTTTGGCAATTTTGAAGTCCTCTTTAAAATTAACAAATTGTTCTTATGAGTTCGAAGCACTAAGAACAAGGGATGACCATTTAAAATGCATGAACTTGGCTAGAAAAGCCTGTGCATTTAAATAAATGGTTGAGAATGGCTTATCTTTTCAAATTGATGGCCAGTTGTTTGTATGTACACAATCAAAGCATCGAAGATACATTCGAAGCATCAAGAGTTGCTTCGAAGGTTGATTACCTCACCTTCAAAGCTGTATAAAGCTTTGAAGATACATTCGAAACATCAAAAGTTGTTTCGAAGGTTGATTACTTCACCTTCGAAACTGTATAAAGCTTTGAAAACTTTCGAAATGTATACATCTCTTCAAATATATGTAAAATGGCAATTAATTAGTTGTCGAATAAAGCCTATTTTCGGCATGATAAGTTGGTTCGAGGAACAACCGTTTTGGTGTCTTCGAAGAATTAATAATTGGTTCGAAGCACAAAATTAATATTTTCATTAATTATGTATGAACCAGAACATACAAAATTTGAATAACCACAATGTTGGCCAAAAGTTGCTTCGAAGGCCCTTTTGCCATAATTTTGTAAGCTTTGAAGAACTCCATCTTGCATTAATAGCTTCGAAGAAACAATAATGGTAGTTATGAACCTTCGAAACTTTGCCGAATATTTCTAAGGATGTAATTTGTCCTTTATCGACACTTTCAACATTCGAAAGATGATTTTGGTTCTTTATACCACCTTCGAAGCTTGTTACTAGTCCATAATAGCTAGCATTCGAGACATCTAGTCATAATTTCATACTCATTCGAAGCACTTCATTGGTGTTATTACATCATTCGAAGCACTTTGTTGATATTATTCGAAGCATTTTATTGCTTAGATTAATCATGTGCTTGGTTCGGCCATTCAAAAATTCAAATAAACATCATTTTTAAGGGCCGCGGGGGGTAATGTTAGCACCATAAATCTGTAATTTTATTATTATATAATTGCAGGACACGTGGCATCCTCTTATTCATTTGGAAGTTAAAAGAAGTTATAGAGATAATTGAGAATATGAAGGACAAAGTGGATGAGTGGGAAGACAAAGTGGATGAGTGGAAGGACACATGGCAAGACAAGAATGAAGATGGAAGAAATGGGTAGTTACTAAGTAGTTATTGCTGTATTTTTTCCCCTATAAATAGCCATTAATGGCCACATTGTAAAGGATCCAGAACTTAAATCAAAGACACTCGATTTCAATATTTCTTGTCATTTTCCTTATCTTGGGAGTAGTTTAACATAGATTTATATTTCGAAGCATTTATTTTCAGCATTTCCATTTCGATGCATTTTATGCACTTCCTTTTCGAAGTATAGAAGTAGAGGTAAGTAATTATTACTTTGATTGTTTACTCAATCGTCCTTCTCCGTCCCTCATTCTTCTTTTAATTTTTCTTTTCTCTATACTTTGGCAATTTTGAAGTCTTCTTTGTTGAGGCAAAAGAACCGTCAACGCAATCGCTTGATAATTGGCTTGAATTTAATCTGTAAGAATTTTTCAATCCTTACTGGCACGCTCGCATTTATGATATTTTCCTTCGTAGGAAAAATAAGCCAACAGTTATACACTTTTTTTAAATACGATGTTCAACAAATTCTATATTATTTTTGGGTAATGCACCAATAAATTTCAAATAAGAAACTTTTGAACCATTTAGTCCTGCCTTTTATTTTATGCACTGATAAGTTTCATTTAAGTGATTATGACCATTTGAGTGGTAATGATGTTTTTGTAGATTGTGTTAGGGCGTATTATCCCAAATGTAATGGGTGAATTAGAGATTCGGTGATGTGAAAATTATGTTTGTGCGCAAAAAGCTTATTATAGTCTTTTTCTATTTTCTCTCCATCCCAATCAAATCAGAAGAGATGGAAACATTGTGGATTCCTGATGTTGATAATTGTGGATTACTTTGTTTGTTGTTTATTTGATTTTGATAACATTAAACCCTATCTTTGTGTTGCTAATTTTAACTTTTGGTTCCCCTCAAACCCTAGAAATGCAAATCTCCAATTTTGTCAATACAACGATTGAAATCGAGAACTACATTATTCTGTCGTTGGATTGACGTTACCGACATATAGCCGGCATATGTACACTCCTCATTGCGTCTTCGGCGGCAATTGTGTTAGTGGGCAATGGCGTCAGGTATATGTTTCAATATTTTTACTACTTTGATAAATATTCTGATTGTGTTGTCGACATTGTTGTCTAGTTTTATATGTAATGTTGGGTCAATAATGTTATAGGTTCGCATCGTATTATTATTGTATGTGAATGGTAATGTGGGTTTGGAATACATTGAGATTTTGGTGGTATGGTCATTGTTCTATTGTGGGTTCTGTAGATGTAACTTTGTATTGCCGAACAATGATTGTGTTATGTAATGTTGTGATTTTTGTTGGCCACATTTTGTCATTATGATGCTTGTTTTAATATGTGTTTTGTACATGTGAAATAACCTATGTTTTTTGATATTGTTATGGTTATTGGGGATATAGTAGTGTTAGTGGTTCGAGTCATTGGATGTTAACTAATGTCAATTGTTATAATAGGAACGAACACCAAACCAGTAACACTACAAACAAGTTAACATCATCCACTCACAAATTACTCCACTAAATCCTCACGAAAAAATAAAAACGTAAAAATCTACCTGATCCACACACACCCAACATTACGAAAAAATTCCAAACAAAATCACACACAAAGATAAATAAGTAAACTCCCATACCCCCAAATCAAAGAAACACAACATACCTAAAATAAAAAAGACTAATTAGTTTGAAAGAAAACTTCTAGGACTAAATGAAACAACTTTTCTCCAAATTGAATTTATGAGTAATTTTTTCATTTTTTCTATATTATTTGAATATTATTTTTATTCATCTTCATTTAGAATTATTTTTTATAAACTAAACACAATTCAGCTTGTTTTGTTTCGTTTTTCTAAAAACAATTTTCAAAAAATTTTATTTTCTTATTTTCCGTATTTTTTTATTTTTATTGATTTTTTTTAATATTTTAAGCAATTTTTGTTTAATATCTTTGCAAAACCAAAGAAAGATCCAAAAAAATCAGCAACATGAACCATCTACATCAACCATTTTGAATCTAAGCAAAGACAAAATTGGCCATACTTGGGCTCCCATGTTCTCAACATAGACTTTGAGAGAGACAAATGTAAGGAAATTGAGGCCGCTTGTGGGCCCATTTCCCGGTCATCCCTCCCCTCCCACAGGAGACGGCAATGACTTCAAATTGGGGTCCCTTTCGAAAATTTCTGTATTAGCATATGACTTATTCTTCCCTTCATTTCAGTATTATATATGCTATGTATAGCTAGCTACCAAACACATCACACACTTCTCTAACCACACACACAACAATCACTCTATTTTCACTTTCCTTTTCTTCTTCTTCTTCTTCTTCTTCTTCTCTCTTACTACCATGCTTGATCTCCAGCAAGGCCTTACTATAAACCACTTTAATTTCTTATGTCAGCCTGATCGATCAATCGATCAAATGGCACTTGTTTTAGGACATGAAAAAGAAACAGGTTTCCAGTTCTGGGGTGAACAAAGAACAGATTATTACAACAGTTATGGTGATGATGAAGTAGATTTTCAAGCTCAGACACAGTACAATGGCAATGACGGAGCCTGCTCACCGCAGGCGTTTTGGACAAGTAAAACTCCGTTATTGCCTAGAAATCACCAGTACAGTTATCTGACATCCCCCAAGTTGTCGTTGTCATCGTCGTCGTCATCGCCGTCACGATTGCAAGCGATCATTGATGGTAGAAGGAAACTAACAGAAAAGATCCAAGACATGCCAGAGTCTTGGTATGAACTCTCTCTGAAAGATATTGTCGATGAACAGCATGACTTGCAGGCAGACCAGAAGGACATTATTGTAATTGATGATGAGAAGAATCCAAATTTCAAGCCTGAAATCAAAATGAAGCAGCAGAAGAAAAAATGCAGGCGAGGTCAGATGACACGGAACGAAAGCATGGACAGTAGGGTTTTACGACTAAAGATAATTTTCCCAATTTCTCTAGGTTTGAAGAGGAAATCAAAGGCTGGTAATCGGTCAAAGGTTTCTCCGAGACCATCTTTGGACTGTCCAGGATCAGCATCAGAGAAGACCAGACTCGATAAGAAATGGTGGAGGATGAGGTTTCTATCTATGGGGGAGAGTAAGAGCACAGGAACTGGAAGCACTAGTAGCAGTAGCAGTAGCAGTAGCAGCAAAAGCAGGTATGTTCTCTATTAGTTTGTGTTCTGAGAATTAGAATTTGGCCAACATAAACAAAGTCTATTAGGAAAAAGAGGCCTAACCCGGTGGGTGTCCGGTCTTAAAATATTGCTAAGAAAGTTTCTATGGTACAAAAATTTGATTTTTCAGTGTCCAGACCCAAAAATCATTCCCATCATTAGATCTATATAAGAAAAAATCCAGTCACTGATTGATACAGTAAAATGGATACAAAAATGAAATAATTTTTGGGAAAACAAAGCATTTTTCATGATCTTGTGATTGAAACTAATCCTACTCACGACACAATAAAACTCTACTTAGTACTTACCATTGGATCTGACCCTGCTTACCACAATATAACTATCTACTTACTATTGAAACTGATCCTACTCAACACTGGAACAGACTGTGTCTACCACTCAATATGACCATTCTTACCAATTTTTTTGGGTACGGAATCTAAAACCACTAGTTTTGAACTATAGTTGGATCCATGAAAATAAGGTAGTCAAACTCAGATGCCACAAGGAAGCATAATCAAATTTGTTGCATATAATTCAATAACATATAATAAAGCAGTTATGCAAAACTGAGCTAGGGTAAAAAATGATCTTGTGCAGCAGTGTTTACACACTTACAATTGTTCGTATGTCGTGCAGAGATGATGATATCAACTTCATACCTGGTTGCTGGCCCTTTCACATGAAATACAGATCCACCAGACAGAGAGAGTGCCTCCCTGAATGAGCTCTCAGACACCATATAAGCACACAAAATGATTAGAGAAAGTAGCAGAATATTATGGCATATCTCACGGCTGATACAACATGGAATGACCAGAAACCCTAGTAAATTTGATTGTGGCAGGGAAGATGATGGAGATCTAATGTATTTCTTGGTCAATAAAACTGTGATATTTTTTTATTATATTGGGATGACAATCCAGAAATTCTGTAAATGAGGTATACAGTTGTTTTGGAAAGTAGGTTACAAGTTAGCCTTTTGATTTTTTTGAAAAAAATGTATAAAAAAGTGGAGGTGATATGACCCAAAAGAGGTTGAAAGCCGCCAACCCCCTTCCCTCAAATGCAAACAAATACATACAAATCAATAAAGGCGTAGAGATTATATTAACAACCACAAATAGCCAATATCAAGAAGAGATTATATTAAAAACCACAAACGGTCAATATCAATAAGTGGATTTGGCAACTACCAATATCAAGAGAAACTTCATACAAGCAAACAACAATTTGCCGGAAAATGCATCACTATATATATACCAGCATACATTTTTCTTTTAATAGGAACAAAGCCAGATATACATATTTTATATGCCCTCAATTACCAGTGCTAGCAATTTATGAAGTATTGAGTTACAAACCCACTTCTTACTAGAGCCCTTTTTCTATCCTTTTCATTCTATATCTTTCCAATTGTATGACAAATAAAAATCAAAGTTGTAGTCATTAAAAGCGTCTTTCACTGAACATAGTGAGTGAAGGTGTCAAATACTTTTAATTATCTCCATCCTCAGTAGTATCCTGCAAAAGAACTCCTCTCACTTTTGACCTGCCAAAAATTAGCATATCAATACCAACATTACAAAATATATCGATATTTAGAATTCTGGAAATCCTTAATAACCTGCGGTATGCTGGTACAACGCGCTTGGCAACTTTAGTTGAGCCAGGATTTTGAGCAGCCAGCTTGTCTGCATTTAACAACATAAGAATTTTTATTTTTATTTTTATTGCAGCTATTCTCAAAATAAGATGAAACACCGAAGTTTAGCAGGATCTAATCAGCTCAGGTTGATGTAAGTGAGAATCTGTAGGAATGGCAACAGGATGGAATACCCCTGCCCAAACTTAATTGGTTAGGTTAATCATAACCTGAACCTGCTTGGATCAAATAACTCGATTCCAAGCTTGGACTTACCCTGATTGCATACACATCAAGAAAAACATTAAACTGGGCAAGATTACATTGGGAATGACTATTAACAGAAAACCAGTATGATACAAACCACATAGAGTTTACTGCCAATCTGAAAAAGTCAAATTGACTACCCATTTTAATGAACAGCATTGATAATCCATGAAAAATAGGAAACAAATGCAAACCTGGAGAATCTTGCAAGCCAGTAGCTGACAAAGCATCTGTGTTTGATTTGTCATTCATCTTCAGTGACTTCTGCCTCTTTGAATACAGAAATGTATCGAGCTGCTTTTGGATAGTTCCAGTCTTTTCCTATCAAATTAAGAAGAGAAAATAGCTCAAAATAACATAAGTTGGTGATCCAAGGGACAGATACGGATCAATTAAGTATATCTGGCTACCATTAATCTTTTAGATGTATCACAAACAAACACATCATAATTGGAACTTAACTTGCACTTCTTCCAAGGAAGGAGATACCACTTTAGTGATGGTTATAAAGTTTTAACATCTTGTGCATGCCAAGGATAAAAGGTGACAAGCCAAAAATAAGATAAACCCAGAAAGGCAAGAACATAATAAAATTCAGTTGTAAATCAAGAAGAAAAAAAAAAAAGTATAGCCATTAACGATAATTTTCAGTTCCTTGTTCAAGAATTTCAACTCCACCATCAAAGGATTTCTTCACATATTAATAAAAGAGAGTACTGTCATTTTCCAAGAGAATAACATGATTTCCTTCGAAATACACCACCACGAATTCTAGGAAGCTCATGATTTCTTGACTTCAAGAAATTCAAAGCAGAAAATCAAATATACACTGAAAAATAGTAATTGAGTTATTTTCTTTAAAAGTTTGTGTGGCGACACGTCAATAATAACCAGATGTAAGGAAAGCAAGCAAAGTAGAAAGGAATTAAGACTTCACAAATAAGAAAAATACAAGGAAGCAAAGCAAACTACATGTATGTATAAGGAATTTAAGCTTTATAGGTAAGAAATACAAGAAAAGGAATTTAGACTTTATAGGTAAGAAATAGAAAAAGAATCAAAACTTATACGCATGTATATATCCTATCAGTAGCTTCAACAAATTAAAAATAATGCAAACAAGATAATCATGCAACTAGAGGGGGGAATAATGTATAGCATGCACTAGAGCATGTACAAGTCCCACTATCAAAGGTTTCTTAATCATTTGAAGTAGTAAGAATACCAAAGATAATATAGGCTTTTGTTAATTAGAGAAAATATTTCGGGAAACCCCAAACACAATGAGAATCTCAAGAAACAACTCCTGTTTAAGGCAAATATTGTTGCAACTGATATACCCAAAAGAGAAACAACTCTTTCCAAAAACAAACTGCCAGGCCCTGTTAATGTGCATTTTGAATGGGAAGCTTGCCAGGCAAAAGTTGCCTCTCTATATGCCCTTCCTTTGAATAACCTAATTGTCTAAATAGGAATCAAGTATTAAATCGTTTCAATAACATGAGCGAAGAGAAGATAGAGTCTTAGACATGACACAATTCTCTGAGTCCGGCCAATGATTAGAGGGATGTAGGCCACGACAGATTTCTACAATTACCTCTTTCTCCCTCAAATGGAAATTAACTCAGGTGAGTTCCAAATAAAAAAATCAAGTTCCATAGGCTTCCATGAACCTGCTTTAAAAAACCGCCTCCTCTCACCCATCTCCCTAATACACCTAGTCACCAAGAGAAACCAAATTGCAATGGGCTGAAAATCTAAAAGTGCTGCAAATAGCAATGGTTGAGGTTCCAGCTTCCGTACAAGGGAGCTTCATCTAATCTACGGCTGCCTTTTCAACAAATCAAACCAGCTCAGATCTATCAGGGGACTATCTATTGCAGATTCCCTCATAATCTACTTGATAGTTTTAGCCGCTCATTAAAAGTTGCATATGCATCATAGATCCATGAGACTAGCTTCTGGGTCAATTACAGCATGAACTAAAGGGATAATGTGTGTGTGTGTGTGTGTGTTTTTGTGGATAAGTAAAATTACTCAGATTAAAAATGAAGTTTCAAGTGAAACTTCAAAAAACAGTTTCTTTATTGGCCTAAACTTTAGTGACTCCACACCAAAAATTAAAAATATAAACTCCCAGGAAGCCCCTAATAAAAACCACAGCAAAAATCAAGCTAAGAACAAAATGAGTATGCCTTTGTCTTATCTTAATCACAAGACAGCAACTTTACTAGTGTGAGTATCATACGCTAGATGCAGAATGTCAGTTACAGCTCAATGATGTTAGAGACTAATATTAGATAAGATATGCCCTTCCAAACATGTAAATAAGCTTAGGACAAGCAGTAATTTAACAGGTAATGTTAGCACAAGTAGGCAAACCTGTTCGGCTGATATTACTTTCGTCAACAGACAACATCGATCTTGCTCTGAAAACATAATCAAGAACAGACTCAAAGTTAAATCCCATATAATGTTATCCTGATTATCCTATCTTTACATCAATTAAAAGGTGAAGAAGTAAAAAAATAAAATAAAGTACAAGCAAAGGAGACACTCAAGGCAAAATGCTTCTTAGTACCCAAAGATACAATTAAATTCAGATATCCTCGCAGTTAATAGAAAGCTCAAAATGAAAGAAAAATGAGGTGATGTGGGAAACTTCTAGGAATAAGAGACTTTTTGGATTAAATCACACATCTACACTTCCAATTTAAAGCTTCATGATCTTTAGTAAGTAAACATTTGATGCATTGATGTGGAACATGCCATAAAGATTTTATTTATAGTTTTATGATTATGTTTATTTAATTATTATTGATAGTTAAATTAGTATATAATATTTATTGGTAGTTAGCATACTTAGTTCCTTATTAGATTAAGTTTCCAAATAAATACAGTATCTTGTTTCCCAATTTGAATTAGGGTTTCTAGCCTATATATATATATATATATATTAGGATTTTGCATTGTAATAATCAGTTTTGAGTACTAGGCTATGGTCATTTATGTTAGGGTTGTGGCCCTCTTCTTCCTCTTCTTCTTCTATATTGCGTACTAGTACTACATCATGTATGCTCCATACTTGATGTCTCACTCCATTATTAGCACGCCCTTGATGCCGATATAGCTAGTGTTACTTTTAGATATCCAAGTGATGATTACTATAAGGTATCTTTCATCCATCAACTCCGCCGGGATTGTTAACAACTCCGCCGGTCCCAAGCCCGGGTTAAAGAGGAGGGTTGTGTGTTAGGTAGCTGACAGCCAACATGTTAAAATTTATCAATAAACCTACCACCACTACCACCTCATCTACTCTACTAAACCTAACCCACTACACCACTACCACCTCACCTACTCCACTAAACCTAACCCACTACACCTACACCTACATCTATTTGTAATAGACAGATGAAATTAATTTCATCAATCAATAATACATATATTTTTACACAACACGTAAAAAAGCCGCTCGGATCCCTTATGAAAATGAATCCTACTTTGAATCATTTAAATGCTAAGTCGTTCCCCTCAAGTGATGCGTTGCGCTGCGCCTGCCTCCCGGTGTTTCGAAAAGTGAGCAAGGGGCGCCGCATTGACGCCTGGGTGCGGTGAAAAATGGGCAAAGGTTTTCGCGCTTTTCTGGACGAGCGCGGGTAAAGAAACTAGTCCAAGACTATAGGTTTAGGGTAGCCACTTGGAACATAGGAACCTTAACTGGTAAGACGATGGAATTGGTAGATGTTATGATTAGGAGGAGAGTTAGTATAGCTTGCATACAAGAAACTAAGTAGACGGGAGAGAAAGCTATGGAAATTGAGGATACCGGTTTTAAACTATATTATAGTGGTAAGGATAGACGCGGGAATGGGGTAGGAATCATAATTGCCAAGGGTCTTGTGGAAAGTGTAGTGGCGGCCACTAGGAAAGGAGATAGGATTATGCTAGTTAAACTAGTTATTGGAGGGAATATAGTGAACATTATTAGCGCATACGCCCCTCAAGTAGGGTTAAATGATCAGACTAAGAGGGATTTTTGGGAGCAAATTGATGAAATCTTACAGGAGATACCCGTAGGAGAGAACCTAGTTATAGGTGGAGATTTTAATGGCCATGTGGGCATAGATAAACTAGGTTATGAAATGGTGCATGGTGAATACGGTTTTGGTGACAGAAATGAGGCTGGAGAGAGTATCTTAGATTTTGCGTTGGCTTCTGACTTGGTGGTGGCCAATACTATGTATAAGAAGAGGGAGGAGCATTTGATAACCTTTAAGAGTGGATTAGTTAAGAGTCAAATAGATTACTTCTTAGTGAGAAAAGTGGACCGCCTAAAATGTAATGATTGTAAGGTAATTCCTGGAGAGAGTCTGGTCTCTCAACATAGGATTTTGGTACTAGATTTATGTTTTAGAAGGCAATACCAAGCTAAGAAGGATGGTGGGCGTCGTATGACGAGATGGTGGAACCTAAAAGGGGATAAACTAGAAATATTTAAGAATCGAATAAATAAGGAAGGTACTTGGGACTTAGAAGGTGATGCTAACACTATGTGATACTCAATGGCCAATTGTATGAGGAGAATCTCAAGGGAAGTGCTTGGAGAGTCGAAAGGAACGGGACCCACCTCTAGGGAAACTTGGTGGTGGAGGGAAGAGGTTCAAGCGGTAGTTAAGGCAAAAAAAGAGTGCTTTAAAAAGTGACAGAATGATAGAACTGAGAAAAACCTTAAGAGCTATAGATTGGCTAATAAGGAGGTCAAGAAAGTAGTGAGAGAGACCAAGTTAAAAGTATATGATGACCTATACACTAGACTAGATAATAAGGAGGGAGAGAAGCGGGTATACAAACTTGCTAAGATACGGGAGAGGAAAACAAGAGATTTTAATCAAGTAAAGTGCATCAAGAGTGAGGATTCTAAGGTATTGGTGAAGGATGATGAGATTAAGGAAAGATGGAAGAATTATTTTAAGAAACTATTAAATGAGGAACATGGAGGTAGGGGTGTGCGCAGTGCGAGTCGGTGCGGTTTTGGAGAAAAATAGAAACCGTATAGCGGGTGGCGGATTGATAAAAATGTCATTAGAATTTACCATTTTTCTTATCAAAAACCGGCGATTCGATTGGCAAATAATAACGGATTTGCCTTGGCGGTTCGGGCGGTTTGGCGGTTTATAAACATTATAATTCAAATTATAAAACTTGAATCAAAGAATATATTAACCATTTGTATTTTCCTCATCCATTCACTATTACAAAGAATAAAAAAATTATATGAATGATAAGTAAATAAATAAAAATTATCAAGGATGAATGACCGTGAATTAATCTGCCATACAGAAATACACAGAAAAGATGAAGTACTAGACACAGAAAATAAATAAAAATTATGAAAGAATGAACACATAGAAATACATTCACAATTGAATTAATATGCCATGATTCTTTAGTAATAACAAGTAGGGCTGTTCAGTAGGAAAAAAAAAAGGTAAAAAAGGGCTTGGATGTTTCCTGACAAACATGAAACATATATTTTGAATTTTGATTTATACAGAAAAAAGAAAAGAGAAATTAAATGAAAAGAAAAGAAAATAATCAAAATAAATAAGCAGATTTGATTTGAATGTATGTTTCTTGTTAACAATTCAAATTTAAAAATAAATAAATAAAATAAAATAAAAATCTGTGTAGTGTATAAAAAAAAAAAACAAAATAGATATTGAATGAATCAACACTATATAAGATATACAAAAATAAATATATGTATTCCAATAAATAAACAAAATAACACACTATATAAACAAAATAACACACTATATTTAGGGCTGTGCATAACACACAATATTATTGAATGAATCAACAACACTATAGATATATATATAGAGAGAGAGAGAGAGTAGAGCAGTACCAGCAGTATATATGTATATACTAGATATATATATATATATATAGAGTAGAGCAGTACCACCAGCAGTATATATGTATATACAAAGAACAAAGAGAGAGTGAAAGAAAAGAGATAGAGAGAGCATCGAGAGAGAGAGAGTAGCGAGTGTACCGACGACGAGAAGGAGAAACCAGCGGGAGACGATCGGCAAAGGAAGGAGAAACAGCGGCGAGACGATCAGCAAGGCAAGGGAAGGAGACGAGCAGCGGCGCTGGGTGTATGTGATGAACGAGATGAAATCGAAATGTGTGGCTGTGTGTAGGTATTAGGTTTAATGGAGGAATGATTATGTGTGAGAGGGTGTATAACAGTTGGAATTTTTTTTTAAAACCTAGGCGGGTCGGGTCGGGTTGACAGGCGGTTTGGGAAATTTAACCTGCCACCCGCGCCGACCCGCCACTGCAGGTCCTCCAACTCGCCCGCCAGAACTGAAATTTTGCGCGGTTCGATGCGGTTCGGAGCGATTCGGTGTGGTTTTGACGGTATTATGCACAGCCCTACATGTAGGTACGATAATAAGGGAAGAAATAGCCAGTAATACGATAAACTAAGACTATAGGTTCTATCACAGGATTAGGAACTTTGAAGTGGAAATTGCACTTAAGAAGATGAAAACAAATAAGGCTTTAGGACCCGATGATATCCCTATTGAAGCTTGGAAGTGTTTGGGTAAAAAGGGAGTTGGTTGGTTGACTAGATTGTTTAACAAAATTTTGTTGACTAGGAACATGCCAGATGAGTGGAGAAAGAGTATTTTAGTGTCAATCTATAAGAATAAAGGTGATGTCCAGAATTGTAACAACTATAGAGGAATCAAGCTAATGTGTCATATAATGAAAGTGTGGGAGAGGGTGATGGAACGCCGATTGCGAGATATAACAGAGGTGTCACAGAATCAATTTGGGTTTATACCTGGTAGGTCAACAATGGAAGCAATCTATCTTTTGAGGAGAGTAATAGAAAAGTATAAAGAAAAGAAAAGAGACATTCATATGGTGTTTATCGACCTTGAGAAAGCATATGACAGAGTACCCCGGAATATAATATGGTGGGTGTTAGAGAAGAAAGGAATGACAAAAGGTTACATTGACGTGATTAGGGACATGTATGAAGGAGTGGTGACCACTATTAGATCGCCAGCTGGAAAGACAAATGAATTTCTTATCACTGTAGGGTTACACCAAGGATCTACCTTAAGTCCTTATCTTTTTGCTTTAGTTATAGACGAGTTGACGATAAATATTCAAGATGACGTGCCATGGTGCATGCTTTTTGCAAACGATATTGTGCTAGTGGATGAGACTAGAGAAGGAGTTAACACAAAGTTAGAGATTTGGAGAAAAGCTCTTAAATCTAAAGGATTCCGGATAAGTAGAACTAAGACAGATACATGGAGTGCAAATTTAGCAACAGTAACAATGAAAGCAGAGGAGAAGTGAAGATTGAGAACCAAGAATTGCCTAAGAGTGAACATTTTCGTTATTTAGGATCGATTATCACAACAACGGGAGAGATTGATGCAGATGTGACCCATAGGATTAAGGCGGGATGGCGTAAGTGGAGAAGTGCGTTTGGGGTATTTTGCGATAAACGAATACCCACTAGACTAAAAGGTAAGTTTTATAGAACGGCTATTAAACCAGCTATGTTGTATGGGACGGAGTGTTGGGCAACCAAGAAACAACGTGTAGATAAGATGAGTGCGGCTGAGATGAGGATGCTAAGGTGGATGCGTGGTAAGACCAGACAAGATAGGATTAGGAATAAGTGTATTCGGGAATGGGTAGAAGTAGCACCGATAGAAGATAAGTTGAGAGAGAATCGTTTGAGATGGTTTGGTCATATTCAACGGAGACCAACAGAGACAGTAGTGAAAATATGCGATGTTATAACGGTAGATGGAAGTGTTAGGGGACGGGATAGGCCTAGATTAACGTTGACTAGTGTTTTAAATAGAGATATGAATCTACTTAATTTGACTAATGAAATGGCCTTTGATAGGGCCGCATGGAGAAGAAGGATTCATGTAGTCGACCCCATTTGATGGGACTTAAGGCTTCGTTTGGTTTGGTTTGGTTATCTTTCATCCATCATCTAAAAATGAAAAAATCTCTCTCAACCATCATGCAATATGTCTTTTCAATAGATGAGAACTTAAGATTGTGTTTGTGCGAATTTGCCTTACCCCAACTAATGCTCCTTCTTCTTCTTTGCACATAAGCAGGTTACTATTCATCATTCTCAGGTTACTGTTCATAGTCCTTAAAAAGTGCACTTGTCAATCTCAAAACCCTATCAATCACACCTAAATCAACCCCAATCCATTCTCCTACCTATTGGCCTGTAATTTTAGCCATTAAAACCCTAAATTACTCACTGTTCGGGCCCTTAATAGCCTCTGTTTTGAAATCAAGCAAGCTGCCACTTTTAAAAACAAACTAAATATCACATCAATTCATCTCTTAACCCTAGAAAGATTCCCTTCCCTCACAAAACTTTACCCTAGAAGCTTTCCACAACCAAAACCCACCACAATTCCTATTGTAGGCAGCAATACTCCTAGGTTTCCAAAGCTGTCCTACATCACCCATTCATAGACTCATAGCAGGATTTTCAACTGAAACAGCCATTCCTGTCAAAACGTTTTCCAATTCCCATCCAAAATTTCTACCTTGAAGTGAATTCAGAATCATAAAGGTTTAGTTTATTATTAAGACATCCACCAATTATGGTGGAGATCTCCCTACCTTCACTAGCTACCCAGACAATATCACATAACCAAGTTGATTTACATATAAGAAATCAAAAGAGAATCATAACTTTTCTTCTAAATTTAACTACCATACAAAACCTGTTCTATAGTTGACAAGTGATGACAAACACACACTAAAGAAAGCATAATTCATGACGATAACAATAGAAACAACTAAGATTTATTTTTTAATTTTTTTTCCAGCCAACCAAGATTTCATCCAAAAAGCTGAATACAATAACGTTTTTTAAGCACATGAAACATGAAATGTGAAACAACTATTTATGAAGACGAGACTACAACCTTTTACAAGAAGATTTTGCATGCTTTTAAATGCTTTATAAACCTCTAGTGAAAGATTCGCCATAACCTCACTCGCAGCAGCATCCACCAGTTTAGCAAGGGAAATAGAGATTAGTGGCATTCCTTTTGATTTCTGAGCAACTAATTTTGCATATGCAGCACCTGAAATGCACAAAGCTGACATATCAAATAACGTACTTTCAAATTTCCGAACCCATCTTACGCATGTCAACAAATATTGCACAAGAAGACAATTCATTTTAGGAAAGAAGAAACAATAAGACAATTTCAGCATTTCAAAATTGGCCTATATGAAGATACTATATATCATATAGTCTATATAGAAGATATTGTGAAGGATATAGCAGAAGAGTCTATCACATCCAGAAGGGATCTCTGCATCTTCACACTTTTTCCCCGATTAGCCATCTATTAGAAATAAATTGTGCTTTTGGACCAAATAAATCCATCAAGGTGGAAGAAATAATCATTAGTAATAGCTCTAACATAACAGCCTCACCTCTGATGTGGTGGTCACTTCAACACTACCACCATTGAACATGCAGCAAAGCAAATGGCACCTACTAGAATTTCCAACACTAAATCACCATTTCTATTTGAGAAATCAACTTTCAACACCATAAACTTGAGTAAAAAAACAGAAGTAATGCAAAAATAGAGCCATGACTCAACCAATGGTATTGATATCAGACTTCATGCAAAAAATGCTACCAGAAAAAGAGAGAGAAGGGGGAAAAAAAGAAAGTCAATCATCCCACAACTTCATGCTGTACTTAGAGATGAAATTCAAAATGCACGTCTGCCTAAACTAGAAACATAAATAATATGGATAGGACATATTTCCTCACAAGAAAACAACTTTCAGAAAACAAAACAGAAAAAATGTGTATCATCAGTTCTTTCTGCAAAATTGTAACATTCAAAGGATAAGTAGGTAATTCAAAACAGCATTTAATATAGAAAGAGATAGCTTGAAATATTCATTACCATCTGCTCTCGGCTGGCCATCCAGAATAAGTTTTACATCATCAGATTTTATGGAAGCAACAAGATAATCCATAAACTCGCACCATGAACCCCCGATTCCAATCATATCCCTCTGCACAGAAGATTAAGAATATTAACACTAAGTGTTATCATCATTAACACAAATTTCCAGCACATTTAATATAGAAGGAGATAGCTTGAAATATTAATTACCATCTGCTCTCGGCTGGCCATCCAGAATAAGTTTTACATCATCAGATTTTATGGAAGCAACAAGATAATCCATAAACTCGCACCATGAACCCCCGATTCCAATCATATCCCTCTGCACAGAAGATTAAGAATATTAACACTAAGTGTTATTATTATTTCAAATCGCAACACTGTATTTACAACAGATTCCAGAAAATGTATCTGACAATAATACTGATCCCTGAACTTAGCTGGACCAGCAGTTCAACCAGAAAGACAAATCCTTAAATCCAGATTACCCACCAAAAGTAACTGCAAAAGATTGAGCCCAATAATGGGCTTCTATGAATCGAAGTTTTTTCTGAAATCAGCCATATTCTCTCATGTGAAGGGTTTTTTCCCAAAATTCAATTTAGAATGCTGATTAAGTCATAGATATGATACCATGGAAAAGAAAAGGCAATACCAATATGCATTATCTCCATTAACTGTATTAAATTCCTCCATACTTATCATCATAGAACCACGTGGCACAGCTGATTTCAGCTCATAATTCAATATGGCATTGTTTGATTGCGGTATATAGAGCCTGATATGAGGGGGTGGACCAGATATTATATTCCATGGGTCACATGTGTTTTTGTGTCCCCTAGTCCCGCGTTTGATTACTCCTTAAGCCTCCAGATATGGGAAAGTTCAGATATATAATCCAACAAAAGGGTGAGATATGTAATACCACCCCCATATTGCATATCAACCATCAACATATATAAGGCCTGTTTGGTCCAGCTTTGCAAATTGAAAGCCGCTGATCCGAATGCAGAAGCTAGAAGCACTCATTCTTAAGCTTCTGAATAATTAGTTTTTTTTCAACTTATACAACCTATTTCTGCCTTGTAAATTATAAATAGAAGCTGCACCAAACATTTTGGTGCGGTTTAAAAAAAATAAATAAACTACCCCATAAGCCGAACCAAACAAGGCCATAGGGTCATTCTTCATCCAAGGGTAAAAAATAATCACTCTCCTCTTCAATCCAACCCTAACAACGAATAGTAAAAGTAACCCACATATATATATATAATATCCATCTCAAATACTAAAGTGTAGTTATTACAAATCCTTCTCAGGCCTTATATCCAATCCGGACAATCAAACAGGGCATAAGAGGCAAGAATAGCAGAAAACATAGAAAGCAAAACATAGCTAACATTTCAGTTTCCATTGTTAACTCATCAACCAAAAGGATAGTACAGAAAAACATGAAGGAAAAAAAAAATGGAAATCTCACCAAGTCCTCGAGCTGTTCGATTGACCGAACGGCCTCAAAAGTATTGGAATAGAAATCAGAAACATGAACTTTAAGGCAAGAAGAGCCGGAAACATGCACGTTAAACAAAAATGGCCGCAAAGGGGGCGAATTTGGAGTCGACCATTCTGCTTTGGCCTGGCCAAATATGGGTTCGAAGTCATCGAACCCCATTGGGGTGAGCTTTGTTTTAGTTTATGAATATATATATCTGTAGAAGCAACAGGTCCAAAAAAAAAAAAGAAGATTCAGGTCTAGAAAAATCTAGGGTTTTAGCTTCAATTTCAAAAAGGGTTAGGGTTTATTGACCTTTCGAGATCCAAAGCAGCAATCAGTGACAGAATTATAACTTACAAGTGAAACGGAGAAATGGAAAAGAATCGAAACGAAGGGCGATTTGTTTATGTGTTCGTGCTACTGAACAAACAGAACGATGATGCAGAGGAAACGCTAAAGGCAGTGGCAAAGATGGAAGAGTATCTCTGGTTCAGTGCTGCAGCTTTTTCCCTTCTATTTTTAGAAAATAGATATTCATGAAAAAAAAAAATCACATAATTTTATATTTTTTTAAGTTATAATTAAAAAAATAAAAATTATTATGATTAAATATAACATGTGACATAATTAAAAAAATATTATAATTATAAAATTAATAATAATTAAAAAATTATATAATTAAGAATGTATATGGTATATTAGGGTTGGATATAGAGTTATTCTACCCATGAAAACTGTCCAACCCAAACCATCCGCACCTATTTGAATAGTTCTGCATAATCATTAGGGTCGAATGCGGGTTAGGATTTTCCTATTTTGCAGATTGTTGACGTATTGCAGTTTTTATCTGCACCTGCACTTACCCATCCACATCTCTATACATTTTTTTTTTTAAATCTGGATCGTCAAATTTTTTTGTAAGTTTTATAAATGTGTAACTCTAATCTTCTCTTCTCTCACTCACTTGCAAATAAACAAATGTTTTGTAACTTGTTTTGCATTGCAAGTGTGAAAACCGAACAAAAACTGGTAACTTGTAATAAAATGAGTAAAAAGGCTTATTCATGATTATGCTTCTTGTTTTTCACTAGTTAGTGATTTCAGCAAACTCTAAAATCAATTTTTCAGAAGATATGTTTGTTCTATTTTTTATTAAAATAACTATGGATTTTGTTTAGTTTATACATTTTTTGCAAAGTGAATATGAGTCAATTGACTGATTATGACTTGTGCTTATGATCTGTTTCCTTTTAAAAGTAAATTGAATAGATATGCTGTAATTTATTTGGGATAAATCATTTGAAAAATAATGATTTTATAATAAAAAATATGTGATTTTATGACCTAAAATAATATTTTAAAAATAGGGAGAAAGGCCCAAAAAGAATACTTAAAAAATGAAAAAAAAAAGTCTAAAAATAAAATTTTAAACAAAAAGTGTAATCCGCAAACCGCCCGCATATCCGCAAATCCTATTCGCACAAGTCACAATCCACACTGTTGTGGGTTTAATTTTTCTCAAATCGCAAATATGCAGGTGAATCCAAATAACAAATAGAACCTTCAAAAATTGATTCGAGAGCACCCCTCTGGTGCATCCATCTTAAAAGTGTTTAGGTTAGAAATTCCCTTATAATCATTTTTTCTTTTTAATCTGCCCTTATAATCAATTGCTTATCATAAATTTGATATTATAATTTATATTACGTATTTTTTTTAAAATTTAATTTATATAATACTTAATTTCCTTTTTATAAAGAATTTTTTTAGTTATATTCATAGAAGAATAATAATATTATTCAGTATGTTTGGTTTCAATTTTTCTAAATTTAGTTTTTTGAAAGTGAATATTTTTTAAATTTTAAGTAATTTTTTTTAATTTTTTTAGATGCACCTTACTTAGATATATTTAAATAGTAAAATATTTGTGAAAAAATATTTTTAAAAATTAATAAATACACAAAAATATTTTAAAAAATGTACTGAATTTCTGTATTTTTTGGTATTTAATGTATTTTTTAAAGATATTTTTCACAAATATTATACTTTTTAAGTTTATTTATGTTAGGTATGTCTAAAAATTAAAAAATAATTACTTAAAATATTAAAAAAATTCATTAAAAATATTAAAATATGAAAAATAAAAAAAAAAGTTGAATTTTTTAAAACCGTTTTCTAAAAATTAGACCTAAACAAGCTGATTGATTTTTATATTAAAATATATATTATTTAATTTCTGTTCTTTATTTCAAAAGGTGATCAATATAATTTACTCGTACAAAATTGTGAAAGAAGAGTGTTTAATGCAATTTTTTGAAACAGTTATAAAATAAAAATAATTTCGATAAGTCAAAATAAATTTAATCATTTAATCATTTTTCTTACACCAACAAAATATAGCTTAACTTTTATCAATTGCTCTAAGCAATTTTCATATATCACTAAACATGGTTTTGTTGTAAAAAAAAATCTACGCATAACACGATTATCAGACTATGCTTATTTGCTAAAATCAATTTTCAAATATTAATAACTTTTCATTTAGATGTTTATTTTTTAAGAATAATAATATTTTTTAAATTCTCTTGTTGACACTTATCAAACGTTGAATATGAAATTACTATTATTTTTTTAAATAATGAAATTTCACTATTTGTGTCTAAACAGTTAAATATTAAATTATGCAATTACAAAAATATATATATATATATAGGCCATTATCCAAGTCCTGTTCAGGTCGGCCCTGAGGCCAGGCAAGAGAGGCATGCGCCTTAGGCCTCCAAATTTTGGCTAAAAATAAGGGTCCCAAATATAATTTTACGTTTTAGATATAAAAAAAAGGCTCAAATACTATAACCCAAATGTACATGAGGCCCAAAAAAAAGCAAGGAGATTAGATATTTATTTTTTTAAAATACTTGTAATAGTTAGGAGATTAGATATTTATTTTTTTTAAATTTTTATTTATAATTTTAATGATTATATATACAAGTAATTTTTTTTGTTTTATCCATAATTTTTATTTTTTCAATATAGAAGGGCCTCACTTCCGAAGTGTCGCCTCGAGCCCCATAAATCTCAGGGCCGGCCCTGGTCCTATTATGGAGATGGATGCACCAATAAGTCTTTATGATTTTTTGGTGTACTAAAAAGTCCTGTTTATTTTTAAGTATTACCACAAAATTCTATTTTTTATTGGGAGTTTGGCCAATAAGTCTCATATTTTGGACTTATAATTCATATAGTACTATATTTTTTTTATTGTGATTCATTTAGTTATTTTAAATGTGTAATGACTTATTTGACCGCCACATTGGAGTGTCACATTTTGAAAAAGTACACTAAAGAGTTTTTTAGTATCACTTCATACCCGTCACGTCAGAGTGTCACATTTGAAAAAAGTACACTAAATTTTTTTAAATTTTTTTAGAGTGTCATATCATACTCGTTACGTTGGAGTGTCACATGTCAGGTTTGTGAAAAGTACACTAAGGAGTTTTAAATTTTTTTTAATGTCACATCATACCCGCCACGTTGTCATGTTTGAAAAAAAATACATTAAGGAGTTTATTTTTTTTGAAATGTCACATCATACCCGCCACGTTGTCACGTTAGAGAAAAATATACTAAAGAGTTTTTATTTTTTTTGAAGCGTCACATCATACCCGCCACGTTAGCCATGTTAGGAAAAAATACACTAAAAAGTTTTTTTTTTTTTTTTTGAGTAAAAGTTTTGGTATGTCACATCATACACACCACATTGTCATGTTTAGGAAAAGTACACTAAGGAGATTTTAATTTTTTTGGAGTGTCATATTAATACTTGCCACATTAAAGTATTATATCATACCTGTCACATTAACAAAAGGGTATAATTGTCACTAAAACACTACCAAATTCAAAAATAGGACCACACAGAAAGAAACTCTCTACTAATAGGACTTAACAAATCAATAGAAAAAACTTGGGACTAATTGGAGTACTTGTTTGTGAGATGAAATTTATTGATAAATATCCCTTTTTTATTTTTTAAAATTTAAATATCAAAATACCTTTATGTTCCAATGTTGCTATCGCTGCCACATCTATCGTCGGACTTTTATCAGACAGTCACTGGAAACTCGCGGGAATGTTCAAAACATCGTCAGAAGTCACTGGAAAATTATCAAAATGTTCTAAATATCACCAGAATGTCCAGAACGTGACTGGGCATCAAGAATATTACTAGAAACTCATTGGAATGTTTAGAACATTATTGGGGAAAAAAGAAATAATAAAGGGAGAAATTAGAACAAAAACATAGAAAAAAAATTAACTACATCCTCTCCAACACTACAAAACACAGGAAAAAAAAAATACTCTTTATCATACAAAACACATAATTTTCAATTCACAAAATTATAAAAATTTGGAGTTTGAATTTATTCCTCATCAAAGTGTATAAATTTACAATTTCAAAATTGCAAAAATTAATAGTTTACTTGTTTGCAATTTATCAAAACACAATTTCACGTCACGACGATGGTGGAGATAATCATGATGTGGAATTGCCACGATATAAAATTGTGTTTTGATAAATTGCAAGCAAGCAAATTGATAATTTTACAGTTTTAAAACTACAAATTTATGCAGTTTGATGAGCAATAAATTCAAGCTCCAATTTTTTTACAATTTTGTGAATTGAAAATTTTGTGTTCTGTATAATAATGAGTTTTTTTTTTCTTCTTCTTGTGTTTTGTGGTGTTGGAGAGGATGTGGTTAAATCTTTCTATGTTTCCACTCTAATTTCTCCCTTTATTTATTTATTTATTTTTGCGATGTTCTATACATTTCAGTGAATCTCCAGTGACAATCTAAATATTCTAACGACTTCCAGTAATGTTCAGAACATTCCGATGATTATTCGATGACTTTTCGGTGATGTTTTGAACATTTCGACAAGTCTTTAGTGACTATATGATGGAAGTCCGGCGATGGTAGATGTGGCAGCGATAGTGACAATAGAATATAAAGGTATTTTGATATTTAAATTTTTAAAAAATAAAATATAAAATTTTGTGGTAACAATTAAAAATGAACAAAAAAAATTTGGACCCAAAACAGGACTTTTCAGTATTGCCCCCATAAATTAAAGAGGATTGCTTCAAAACGCCCACATGAGGTCTCCCATTCCAAAATATATGATGTAGATTTGCTATGGTACAAAATTTCAATTTTTTGTAACTTAGGTTCTTCCTCAATTTTTTTTTAAATTTTTTTTAAAGAAAACATTTGAAATAATTTGGCTTTACTCAAGTGCTCAACAAATGCCATTCACATTGATGGCATTGTTGAACTATGGTGTCAAGTTAGCCATTTTTTTTATTTAAGACTTTATAATAATTTATATTGTATACATTTATTTTTAATAAAACCTATTTATTCAAAACATATTTGTCGAGATTTATCAAGAGTGAATGTAAAAAAATAAATAAAATTTGCACTTTCATAGTTTGTGTTAAAATTTATAGAAACGTACGTGAATTTGATAAATTTCTCAACCTATAAAATTTCAAAATTAATATGCTACACAACAATTTGTTCTTACAAAGTTTTGTATTGAATATGAATCTTGTTTAATAACAAGTCATCTCAAATAGGTTCCAAAAATATAAATTTTCATAAAAAGCAAATCCAAAGACCAAAAATTATGGAAATTTTAATTCTTTTTTCTTGAAAAAAATTAACTACCCAATGGCAACTCACATCTTGACAAAGTAAGGGCATTATAGTAATTGTGAAAGATTTTAAGAATCTTTTGTAGGAGTGAATTCATAATCTCTTACACTCTATACATCTATCAAGCTGATTACAAAGCAAACATTAATAAAGACAATATCTCAATCAAAAACAACATAGAAAATGATTGATTTGAGAAGAAAAGATTAGGCAGATGAGTTCCAATCAATTTACAACGACATGATAACATAATGGTCACAAAAAACTTATAAGATGCAATGTGGATTATATATTATGATCATAGTTTCTTCATCTGGAATACTGAGTTTTAAAACTATGTACTTGTTAATAAATAAACCCATAACAAACTTCTATAGCATATACATAACACAATTCTCAGACAAAAGTATATAAAGACTGTTTGGATCTAAGAGTAAAAAGTTAAAAGGGAAAAGCAACAAAAAAATTTAATCTCTCCCCATCCACAAATTCCTCTTCAAATCCAATATCCAAGCCCAGACTTAAGTCTGCAATGAAGTCCTCTTTCTCATACTAATGACATTGTAATCCTACATACAACCAACATGAAAAATAAAAAAAATAAATAACCAACTTTTCAGTTTTCCAGTAGAGAGAGTCAAGTCCCTCCTGAGTTCTTCATCCCCATAATCACCATCAAGCTTCGAAGACTTGTACTTCGCCTTCCATTCCTTTTATAAATACAAGAAACAGAGCACACTGTTATTAAAAACATGAAAAACATATCCAAAAACAGTAGGCCAACTTTGATCATCAAGAACTGTGGTTTTGTTCACTATGCCTCGAAACCTTAGATCTGTGCACAAAGAAGTTCATTCCACGTGTCGGGAACACCAGGTAAGCACCAATGCAAGCAATCATGTACACCGCTCGATGCTTTAATACTGTACCGTGACATGTGACTCTCATCCCTTAGTTGAGAAATAGCAGTTATATCCAAAATCTTGACCTTAGTACCCTTAACTGCCCCTTCAACAACAGGATCGCTTGATTTGTCTTGCGTAACTTTGCTCCCACCGGCCAACGGAGTCGTATTATCACAACTACCTCCAGTATTCCATTCCCCATTGAAGAAATGCCTCGGAGAGATTGTCCTAAAAAAAGCTTTAAGCCGTGGATGCCAAGTCATTTGCGAATCAACCCATTTGACGACATTATAAACCGTTAAATTCTTTGCATTCCCAATTTGTTGGAGCTTCCAATCTTGAAGCGGTTTTCCATTTAAATACATTACCCACCGGTTCGCGTTCATCTTCCCTCGGTTCCAATGGTGTCCTGTGTTAAGAACCAAAACGTCAAACCCATGGAGGAAATGTTCTAAAAAAGCTGCTGGACGGTCCAAATGCATCGCAAAATTGGTGGATGGATCGCTGATGTTAATGGGCTCGATGCCACATAGGGTTGCCGACCAATAGTATAAAATGGTGGTGTTGGTATGTGGAAACCAGTAAGCCCATCCATCCGGACGAATGGACCCATGAGGTTTTGCAAGACCATATTTCGATCCAACATCTTCAACTTCTGGATGCTCTTCACCGCCAGTGACCATGCACATGAAAGATTGGAACTGTTGCCTGCCCAAGGAATCACCTACAAAAGCAATCGTTTTGTCCTGCATTCTGAAATATTAAGGGCAATGAATCAATCAAAACCGAGAACACACACAAAAAGAAAAGAAACAAAAAAATAATAAAAACCCTATTTTGTGCGGAACCAGATTGACAAAGTTCAGATTCACAAATTCATATCGAGGGATTTTTTTTATCAACAACAACGAAAAATTTATTAAATAAAAAATAAAAGGGCAATAGTGGGAAAGACGGACGACAAATCCGCCAAGTACAAGACAAAAGGAAGACAAAAAACTGAAATACAACTTAGCACGAACAACTTTTCAATCTCTAGAAATCAAAATAAAGAGATCCCCTTGAAAGTGGGTGCCGATGAAGCCCCAAAGAAGCAAAATAGCAAATTTTACGCCAAAACCCCTTAAATCTTTTGATTTGTCCTCAAACACTCTAGAATTCCTTTTTAACTATATCGCCCACATAACCGCACAAAAAACACGTCTCCTCAGCCATGCCTTAGTATTAAGACTAAAAAAACCCAAAATCAATGCAAAATATATTAACACTATAAGAAGAAATCACCCAATCCAGCTCCGCCATAAAAATTACCTCCACCACAAGGCCAAAGCCACCAAACAGAGCAAAATAAATGATCAATACATTCCTCTGTAAGTTTTCTAAATGAAATTGTATATTAGACTGAATCAATAAAACAAAGAATACATCACTTATATAGAACTCTAATTCCTCAACCTAAAAGGAAAAGGGAGAAACCGAATATATACAATAGTCCCACACCCCCACTCAAACTCAAGGTGTGCTAGCAGAAAACACTGAGAGTTTGTCAAGAAGAAACCGAAATCGAAACTGAAATTGAGCAGTGGTGTGAGTCTTGGTGAAAAAGTTAGCAAGTTGCAGAGTTGAAGAGACAAAAAGAAGTGAGATAGACCCAGACTGCAGATGCTAACGAACGGAGTGACAATCAATCTCAATGTGCTTTGTCCGTTCATGGAAGACAGTGTTATGAGTATTCTGAATAGCACTTCAGTTGTCACAATAGAGACAGGTCGGAGAAGATTGAAGGACGCCCAAGTCAGATAAGAGACTACGAAACCAGACAATTTCAGCAGTAGCATGAGCCATAGCACGATACTCAACTTCGGCAGTAGAACGAGCAATAACAATTTGTTTCTTGCTTTTCTAAGAAATCAGGGAATCGTCGAGAAACATACAAAAACCAAAAGTGGATTTACGATCATTAACATCACCAGCCCAATCAGCATTAGCATTAGCATAAGCCACCAAGTCTAAGGAAGAAGTAGAAGATAATAGCAAGCCCTGAAAGATAGTACTGCGAAGAGAGCAAAGAATCCGAATCAAAGCAGCCCAATGTGTAGAGCGAGGAGCAGACACAAACTAACTAATCACATGGACAGCATAGGCAAGATCAAATCAAGTAATTGTCAGATAGACTAAGTAACCCACAAGCTCAAGATATAACATAGGATTGTCCAGAGGAACACCATCAGTAGGGTTGAGCTTCACATTACCCTCAATAGGGGTATTAGAAAGCTTAGTGTCAATAAGATCAGCACAATGGATAACCTCGTTCGCATACTTGACCTGGGACAGAAAGTAGCCCTTGGGAGAAGAAACCACCTCAATACCAAGAAAGAATCGTAATGGTCCCAGATCCTTCATTTCAAAAGTGCGGAAGAGATGTTACTTGACTTTAGAGATAGTAAAAGAGTCAGAACCAGTGATGATCATATCATCCACATATAATAATAGGGCAACAAAACTAGCAAAGGTGTGGAGGAGAAACAACACAGAGTCATGGGCACAAGGATGAAACCCAAGCTCAGTAACAGCTGTCTAAAAGCGATCATACCAAGCACGAGGAGATTGCTTCAAACCATACAGAGTACGCCAAAGATGACAAACTTAATGATGAAGGCCAGAGGGAGAGCACATGTAAATCACCTCAGTGAGATGGCCATTAAGAAAAGCATTCTTAACATCCATTTAATAAAGAGGCTAATGACGAACAACAGCAACAGAGATCAAAGTACGGATAGTAGTCATCTGGGTAACAGGGGCAAAAGTGTCCTCATAATCAATACTATATTCTTATGAGATACCTTTGGCAACCAAGCGAGCTTTATAGCGCTCGAGAGAACTATTAGAATGAGTCTTAACTTTATAGACCATTTGTAACCAATCAGATTCTTGCTAGCAGGCAAAGGAACCAGCTCCCAAGTACTAGTCTTTTGTAATGCAGACAATTTATCCTCCATAGCTTGAATCTAATTAGGATCGTGATAGGCCTCCTTGTAAGACTGAGGTTCTAAAACAGAGTGAATAGCAAACAAAAACGTACAATATAAAGGAGAAAAACAGATTTTAGCAAAATCAAGTTTGACTACCTATTTACGAACGCGAAGGGGATACTTACAGTTAGCCAGATCAAGGTCGTCAGAAGCAGGAGGATCAGCAGCAGGGGCAGAGACAATTAGTAGAGGAAGAGCCTTGTGACGAGGATATACTAACAATGGAGGAGGAGAATGAGTAAGCGGGGGAAGAGGTTGAGAGGATGGAACAGACTCACGAGGTACATGTGAGCATATTATGGAAATATATTAATTAAATTGCTTGTATATTTTAGATTAATTGATTGTATATGTTTATTCTTATTTCCTATTTTAGATTAGGTTTAGATTGGCTATATATATCGGTTGTAATCTTTGTATCAGACACAATTGAATATACAGAAAATAATTCAGAAATCTTACATGGTATCAGAGCCTATCATTATTGTCTGAACCCAAGCATTGAAATCTGCCTCTCGTCATTGCTCTATCTTTGATTCTGGTTCGTCATCGCAAGGTCCTGCTCACAATCAAGTTCGCGAGGCCCTTCTCCATCTGTCTCTAGTCACGACGACTCGCCATTGACCATGCTTCTAGTTCACAACTCACTATTGACAATCAACAACCTTCATTTGGTCTATTCTCAGTCAAAACCCTAGTTTCGTGAATCACCAAGCCCTTTGTTTGAATTTCTGAAGCTCAATACATCACGACTTGTTTGACCTATATCGCAACCTCTGCTTCTTGCCTTTATCGCATCTGGTTTGCATCAACTTCGGCTTCTGTCTCTCTCGCAAGTGATCTCCATCCCACCTCGCACAGGTTGGTTCTCTCTCTTTGATCGACTGGTTTGTGGGTCATAAATCTCTGATTTAATTATTTTGGGTTTATTACTCTTTAACCCCTCAATTGTTTTTTGGTTATTACCCTTGACCCTAGTTTGGCTCATTTGTTCTGTTTTGGATTTATTACACTTGAACCTCTCATATCTTTGGTTATTACAATGTCTCTGGTTCTTGATGAGTGTGCCTTCTGCCATCAGAGAGGTCATTGGAATCATTTGTCCTAAGAAGGGACATCTGCTTACCTCGTCTTCTTAACAATTTCAGATCCAGGTCTGCACCTCTCCTCCTAGTACTTTTCAGCCTCCCACTAATTCTACTGCATCTGTTCTGGCTCCTAATCCTGATTTGACTTCCTTGAGTGCTCAAATTAATCAGCTTTAGCATATACTATCTACTTCCCAACCATCCCCGTCTGCCTCCATTGTTTCCTCTCTTCATTCATGTTTGCTTGGGTCTTCTTCAAGTATCTCTTCATCTGTCTAGATTTTTGACTCTAGTGCCTCTCATCATATGACTCCCCATGTCTTCTTACTTCAAAATTGTACTCCCCATCCCTTTCCTAATACTGTTAATGCTACTAATGGGTCTGGTATGTCTGTTATATCTGTTGGGTCTATCTTACCATCTACTATGTATGCTGTCTCTCTTCCATCTGTCCTTTATACTCCTTAGTTGTCTGTTAGTTTATTATCTATCAATCAGCTTGACGCCTCCGATTTTGATGTTATTTTTTCTTCTTCTATCTATTTTGTGCAGGATCGGATGTCCAAGTAGTAGATTGGGAGTGGCTGTAGAGTTGGAGACTTCTATGTGGTGGAAAGCTTGCATCTGCCTATGACAAACTCTCCGACTACCTTTTCCTCTTTTCAGTTACATTCTCTGTCCAGTCCTTTCTACTTGTGGCACTCTCGATTAGGGCATTTTTCTGCTGATCGCTTACGATCTTTAGCTTAATCAGGTATACTGGGTAAAGTTTCTCCTAGTAAACTTACTGAATGTGGAGGGTATAAACTTGCCAAAATGACAGCCTTACCTTTTCGTAAAAGTACTTCTATATCTAATACACCATTTTCTTTAGTTCATACTGATATTTGGAGCCCATCTCCTATTCTCACCAAAAGGGGTTCTGTATGCTATGTGTCATTTGTTGACGACTGCACCCGTTATACTTGGGTTTATTTTATGACTCATAAGTCCGATTTCTATCAAATATATCGTACCTTCCAGTCTATGATTACTAATCAGTTTAGGTCTACAATTAAAGTGTTACGGACGGACTTAGGTGAGGAATATTTTAAAAATGAGTTTTGTGAGTATTTGGCCACTTTGGGTAACCATTCACCAAACATCCAGTACAGATACACCTACCCAAAATGGTCGAGCCGAGCATAAACACCATCATCTCCTTGAGACAGCTAGGTCTCTTCTTCTCTTTGCCTCAGTTCCGGCTCCGTTTTGGGGGAAGGCAATTCTTACTACTGCTTTTTTTCTCAATCGCATGCCTACTCCCCTTCTTTCTAGTCAGTCTCCTTATGAGACTTTGTTCTCCCAAATTCTTAATTACTCCCTTCTTCGTGTGTTTGGGTTTGTTTTTTTGCCCTTCTTCCCTGCAAAGATCGGACCAAACTTAGTGCCCAGTCTGTCCTTTGTGTCTTTTTGGGTTATAGTCCTACTCAGTAAGGCTATCGATGTTACGACCCTGTTACGATTGGACTTAGGTGACAAATATTTTAAAAATGAGTTCTGTGAGTATTTGGCCACTTTGGGTACCATTCACCAAACATCTTGTACAGATACACCTGCCCAAAATAATTGAGCCGAGCGTAAACACTGTCATCTCCTTGAGACAGCCAGGTCTCTTCTTCTCTCTGCCTCAGTTCCGGCTCCGTTTTGGGGGGAGGCAATTCTTACTGTTGCTTTTCTTCTCAATCGCATGCCTACTCCCCTTCTTTCTAGTCGATTTCCTTATAAGGCTTTGTTCTCCCAAATTCCTAATTACTCCCTCCTTCGTGTGTTTGGGTCTGCCTATTTTGTCATTTTTCCCGGTAAAGATCGGACCAAGCTTAGTGCCTGGTCTGTCCTTTGTGTCCTTTTGGGTTATAGTCCTACTCAGTAAGGCTGTCAGTGCTACGACTCTGTTTCTCGTCGTCTTTATGTCTCCCGTCATATTTCTTTTCTCGAACGTCTGCCTTACTTTCAGCTTCCTCCTACCACTACTTTGGGTTCCAAAGAGGATTTGGTTCATATTGATCCATTTCCTTCTGAGGTCCCTCCTGATGAGTACATCCCTACTGTTCCCCCTAACCTTGTTCCCTCTTTTTCCACTGAACCCCATGAATCTACTCCTTCTCCTTCTCCTCCTCCGTTAGTTTATTCTCGTCGCTAGGCTCTCCCTCCACCAGTTGTCTCTACTCCAACTGCTGATCCTCCTGTTTCTGCCAACTCTGATCTTGCTACACACCGATATCCTACTCGAGAGCGTCATCCTCCAAACAAGTTAGGTTGGTCTAATACATGTTTTTCTACTTCATATCGTACTTTTTTGTCTGTTATTCACTCTTTTTCAGAACCTTAGTCTTACAAGGAGGCCTGTTAGGATCCCCATTGGATTCAAGCTATGGAGGATGAATTGTCTGTTTTACAGAAAATTAGTACTTGGGAGTTGATTCCTTTGCCTACTGGTAAGAATTTGGTTAGTTGCAAATGGGTTTATAAAGTCAAGACTCATTCTGATAGTTCTTTTGAGCGCTACAAAGCTCGTCTGGTTGCCAAAGGTTTCTCACAGGAATATGGTATTGATTATGAGACCTTTGCTCTTGTTGTCAAGATAACTACTGTCCGTACTTTGATCTTTGTCGCTGCTGTTCGTTCTTGGCTTCTTCATCAAATGGATGTTAAGAATGCTTTTCTTAATGGCCATCTCACAGAGGAGGTTTACATGCATTCTCCCCCTGGCCTTCACCATTCCTCTGGAAAGGTTTTTCGAATTCGACGTGCTCTGTATGATCTGAAGCAGTCTACTCGTGCTTAGTATGATCGCTTTCAGACTATTGTTACTGCGCTTGGGTTTCATCCTTGTGCTCAGGACTCTGCTTTATTTCTTCTCCACACCTCTGCTGGATTTGTTGCCTTATTACTGTATGTGCATAATATGATCATCACTGGCTCTAACTCTTTTGCTATCTCTGAGGTCAAACAGCATCTTTTTCGCATCTTTGAAATGAAGGATCTGGGCCCCTTGTAGTATTTTCTTGGTATTGAGGTAGCTTCTTCTCCCAATGGCTACTTTCTATCTCAGGCCAAGTATGCCAATAAGGTTATTCATTGTGCCGGTCTTACTGACGCTAAGATTTCTGATACCCCCATTGAGCTTAATGTAAAGCTCACCACTACTAATGGTATTCTTTTAGATGATCCTACTTTATATCGAGAACTCGTGAGTTGCTTAATTTATCTGACGGTTACTCACCCTGATCTTGCCTATATTGTTCACGTGGTTAGTCAGTTCATTTCTGCTCCTCGTTCTATACATTAGGCGGCTTTGGTTCGGATTCTTCACTATCTCCGGGGTACTATATTTCAGGATTTACTGTTGTCTTCTACTTCTTCTTTGGACTTAGTGCCTTATGCTAATTTTGATTGAACTAGTGATCTCACTGATCGCAAGTCCATTTCTGGCTTCTCCATGTTTTTTGGCGATTTCTTGATTTCTTAGACGAGCAAGAAACAGGCTATTGTTATGCGTTCCACTGCCGAGGCTGAGTACCATGCTATGGCTCATGCCACTGCTGAGATTTTTTGGCTTCGTTGTCTCTTGACTGATTTGGGTGTCCCTCAGTCGTTTCAAACCTCCCTTTCTTGTGACAACCGCGGTGCTATTTAGATTGCACATAACACTGTCTTTCATGAGCGGACAAAGCACACTGAGATTGATTGTCATTTTGTACATCAGCATTTGCAATCTGACTCCATCTCACTTCCTTTCGTTTCTTCGGCATTGCAACTTGCTGATTTCTTTACGAAAATTCACACCACTGCCCGCTTTCAGTTTCTTCTTGGCAAACTTCGGTGTTTTCTGCCAAAACACTTTGAGTTTGAGTAGGGGTGTGAGCATATTATGGAAATATATCAATTAGATTGCTTGTATATTTTAGATTGATTGATTGTATAGGGTTATTCTTATCTCCTATTTTAAATTAGGTTTAGGTTTGCTATATATATCGGTTGTAATCTTTGTATTAGACACAATTGAATATATAGAAAACAATTCAGAAATCTTACAGTACAGTGGAGAGGGGCTCAGCAGAAGGTGTAGTAGGAGGAGAAAAAAGAACAAGTTCATGGGAAACAGTAGAGCTATGGAACAATGTGAACCAAATCTTCTTTCGAAACTAGAGCAGTGAGAGGAGGAGGATGAAAGTAAGCTAGATGCTTCAGGAAGGCAACATGGCGAGAGACACAAAGGCGGCAGGAAAAAGGATCATAACAGCGATAGCCTTTTTGAGTAAGACTATATCTCAAAAAGACACACAGGACAGATTGGACACTAAGTTTTGTCCTATCTTTCCGGGCCAGAAGGACAAAACATGTAGATCTAAAAACACGAAGGAGAGAGTAATTGAGGAGTTGGGAAAATAGAGCCACATAAGGAGAACGACCAAAGAGTAAGGGGGTAGGCATACGATTGAGACAAAAAGCAGCTGTAAGAACAGCTTCCCCCCAAATGGAGTCGGACCAGAAGCAGAAAGAACGAGAGATCTAGCTGTCTCAAGGAGATGACAGTGTTTACGCTCAGCACGACCATTCTGGAACACGTCACACAATTGAGGTTGTAAACAATAATTAGTTCTTCTAAAACATGTCATTAGTATTAATTTTCTTATACATCTGCTTGGCAACACTTGCAAGGCTAATTTTTTAGATGATTGGCTTAAAAAGTTTCGAATAATTTGTAAAATTGTTTGGTGCAGTTTTTTGTTTAAGTTGTGAAAAAGATTAACCAGTTTGGAAAATAAGTTGCGAATTAGCTTTTTGGTATGTAATGCCCTTAGAAGAAGTTTTAAGTAATAACCTCATAAAGCACTTCTATGGCCTTTTTTATCAAACACGTGAAAGCTAGAAAAGTAAATCCAAAAGAGCACCTCTTTGGTAGGCTTTAAAAAAGCTAGTTTTTCCCCTCAAAAAAGTTGGCTAAGCTAATTAAGTTGAATTCAAAAAGCTTTGACAAGCATCCAACAACAGTTTTTTAAGCATCTCCAAGAAAGTGAGCTTATGAGCTCTACCAAACGGAACCAAACAAAAAACTAGCACAATTTCTTTCCAAATCACCTTATGTGAGTCAAAGAATGGTACATATGAAATATCAATGAGTTTATCAAAGTAAGACTTACAAGTTTAATCCCCAAAAGAAAGAAGCCACATCTTTTTATCACTAACTTTATTGTCCAAAGTAACACTCAAGAATAAATAGCAAAGAGGCAAATTCATTAACCTCACGATATTCCTAAAGAACTATAAATTCCACTAAATCATATTAGAATGAGATAAAACCATAGAAGCAATTGAGACATTATGATACCAAGACAAACAATACAAATGAGGAAACAAATGAGCAAAAGATACCTCGTAAAGCACATTCTCATAAACGAACAGACTATCCATTACCCACACTAAGATGAGTGAATGAGAAAAACTCAAAAGATTCTGAGAAATGAATTCCACAGAGATCAATAATTCCCCCAAACGACCACTTGAGTGTCACAACAGTTATCCTATAATCCACTCTTACTCTTGATCACTACATGCCAGGAATAAATAAGAGCTCAATAGTTGATATTTTATACATAGCAAATAGCATCTAATTTAATAAGAAAATAGTGTTGAGAGGAAAAAAAAAAAAAAACTGGGAAGTGTAGGGAGGCCTTTTCTATGCTTTTTTTGCTCAGTATTAAAATATTTTGAATTATCTGGACTACATTCATTAACAACATATGATATGATGGATTAAAAGGTTTGGTATACACTTGTGTGAACTTAAAAGAAATGTGAGTTTATATTAAGACTTCCCCAACAGTCCACCTTGTCAGAAGTAGCAGAACGGTCACTGTAATAGGCATAACAGGGACTGGATGGATATTAAAATGTGACAGATGAGAAGGGGACAAAACACTGCTTACCTTTTTAATAAAGCTGACCCTTCAAATTCCGGCATCTCACAGTTTTCAGGCTGCCAACGATATCCCTCATAAGAAAAATCTGTCCGTTGGGTCAATCTACATGCCCACATCTCTGATAACCATTGTTTACATCCAAAACCCGAATATAATGGTCTCCGGCTGTCTGCAACCCATCTGCCCTTGGCGTAGTTACAAACTGTTCATCAGGTAAAAAATTGGATAGCTTATACTAAGTTCAAAAAGACTGAAAATATTTTATTGAAGAGTTGTATGAATAGCTTTAGAGTTTGTGAATGTATTTTAGCTATAAATAAGCGAACTAAAACAACACACATTCCCTTCTCATCAATAGTTGACTGGCATTGTTTTAGACTGTCACAACCATCAATCACATTTCAAGAAATCATCCCATTATTTTAAAGACATGCTCACCAAAAATTTCAATCATGTCTTTGGGTTGTTTTGGGGAGTAGCTATTTTAGTTAGTTTTTTTTGGATTTTTACGAAAAAAATGTACAGGAAAGTAGAGAGAAGAGTTGACTTTTTTGTAGTGCCCTTTAGGCTATTTTTGCTACTTGCCAAAATAGCCCTTTAAACAATGGGTCAATCACTTAGACCTTGTTTGGGAAGTTGGCTATTTTAGTTGGCTATTTGACTTTTTGACTATTTTAGCTTAGCTAAAAAAGTAATGTTTGGGAAGTTGGTTGGTTTTTTTTTTTTTTTGGTAGTTGATTTGATAGTTGTGAAAGAAAAAAGTGAAATGATTATGGGTTAGATGTGACATTTTGTCTTATTGACTATTTTAGCCTATTTTGTCTTTTAGTGAGCTATTTTAGCCCAACTCTCTTCTCAAGCAAGGCCTTAGTGTTGAGATTCCTAGCAAAAAGGCAGTCATTCCTAGTGACGAATAGATATTTATTGATAAAGCTACTGTTAGGGGTTAAAACTAGAAAGCCAGCAAACAAAAGGATACTCCCTCCCTCTCTCTCTCTCTCAATGAAATGTGTTATAAGAAGGCACAGGCTGCATCAATAAAACTATTTTTATGAACACCACCAATGAAGATATGTTGTGGACAATTCAAAAGGCTAAAGCTCGGAAGACTTACAAAGCCGTTGTAGCACAAAACAAGGGTGTATTAATGGCATTGAAGAGAAAGGGGATTATTAAACCCCACAATATTTGTGGCTATGTATGATTCCCAGGTACGATTTTTGTGGGATATGGGGATAAGAAATACATAGGAATTTGGATGGGATTGGTAATATCTGAGATATTAGACAGATTATATATACCATGGGAGTTCTTGTACTATGATTGGAGTAGAATATAGCATGGAATGAAAGGAGAGGATTATTTTTTACCATTGGATGGAGTGATGTGATTAATGATTAATCCCATGGGGTAGGATTACCAATACCATGAGGAGGTTTGGTATTGGTAATCCCCCCTGGTTTGGAGATAAACAATCATTTCCATCTCCACATCTCAATCCCATGTGCAAAACAAACAAAGGATTAAAAGACATGGGGAAAACACACACACACATAAATCAATAAATAAAAAGAAAGAAAGAACATGTGGACCCCACACATTTTTTAATCCCAACTCCCCCTCCAATCCCTCCTTGGTTGCCAAATCAAACAGGGCAACAATGTACAAATCGTCGAGTATGGTATAAAACCCTTGCTCAAATTAGTAAAATTCATCCAAGAAAATTCAGAGTTGAGTTGGGTAATATAATTTATGATTTTAAATATTTCATCGTAACATTTCTATTATAGACTAATCATCCTAGTAAAAAATAGTACTGGAAGAGGTGATAACATGGTCCAAGCTATTTCTCAGAGAAGACTGACTTCCTAGTAGTAACAAAATGTTAAGTCAACAGAACTATCAAAGATGAAGTTATGATCACATGAGCACAAAAAAATCTACCTTTCTTCTCAAAAGAGGAGTTCGAAATTTTGTCGTTGTCCTTTCTGTCTAGAGACAATATGGCTGTGATATTCATTAGTGCAGTGTCAGAAGCTTGCTCTGTTTTGACATTGCTTATTCCATCTGACACTAGTGAATGTGAATAATCTTTTGAAGTGTGCTCCCTTGGGTTCAAAGACTCTAAAGGATTATCAGGATCATCCATGAGAAAATATGAGCCACAAAAAAAATCATTAACTATGATATTCATTAGTGCAGTGTAAGAACCTTGCTCTGTTTTGACATTTCTTGTTTCATCTGCCACTTGTGAATGTGAATAAACTTCTGAAGTGTGATCCATCGGGTTCAAAGACTCTACAGGATTTTCAGAATCATCCATGAGAAAATATGAGCCACAAATAAAAAATCATCAACTACAATATTCGTTAGTGCAGTGTAAGAACCTTGCTCTGTTTTGACATTTCTTGTTTCATCTGCCACTTGTGAATGTGAATAATCTTCTGAAGTGTTCTCCCTTAGGTTCAAAGACTCTACGGAATCCATGAGAAAATATGAGCCACAAAAAAATCATTTAACTACGATATTCATTAGTGCAGTGTAAGAACCTTGCTCTGTTTTGACATTTCTTGTAACATCTGCCACTTGTGATTGTGAATAATCTTCTGAAATGTGCTTCCTTGGGTTCAAAGACTCTACGGAATTATTAGGATCATCCATGAGAAAATATGAGCCACAAAAAAATCATTAACTAAGCAAGTGGAAGCAGGTACAGAAACCAGATTACAACTAAAAATAACAAGGGTCGAGGTAGCGAGATAAGAGATAATGACCTATAATGTAAATGATGGTACCATAGATAATGCTGAACTGCAAAATGGATAAGTAAGCATTCAATCATAACTCATTGGGAATCTTGGGACATGACAAACTCATATTGTTGGTCCTCAAATGTATTAAAAAATGATAAGCATAACAAATAGACAAAGCAGCAGAGTAGTGGTAATTTTAGCTAGAAATATTTCTTTATTTAAAAGGTAGCAACCAACCACAATCTTCAGTGCTTCTAGATGTCAACAAATAAAAGTTTCACTATTCAAATTATTCATGTTACTCTCTATATATATGACCTCCATAAAGTTTATTATATCAAGTCCTAATGAGACTAAAGAAAAAAAGAGTAAAAAAGTCTTAATTTCACCATAAAATCAACTCTCTTTGTTTCCTAGATGGTTTGATTGTTACAGTAATAATAAACCCTAAACATCATCCAATTAAGGTTTGAAGTTACTTTGCTAACAAATAATGTCATTTATACTTCAATCCAAAACTAAAGCAAGAAAATGTCTAGTTTGTTTTAACATATAGTACAGGCATTTAATTTTTAAGGGTTTAGGAAACTTTTTTAAGCCTAAAAGCAGGCCAGGTTTATCAATTTACTTTACAGAATCATATTCATTTGGACAGTCAAGGGTGTTGTTAGGATCCGAGAAACTACCAGTGAAAGTTACTCGGGAAATTTTTGGCTCGAGTAACTAATATGGGAGCAAGCTAAAAATTTGGAAATCTGGAATGTGATAAAGAGTTTGGAGGAGGGGTTTTTGAACAATTCATGTCTTGAAATTTCATTCTTTTACTCTTTTTATTTCTTCTTGGGGCTTCATTTTGAGCCTGATATCTCTGGAATTTGCACAGCCAACCCAATTCTTTGTAATTACCAGTAAATCAAGCTTGTCAACTATCAAAGGGAAGGTGCTTCCAAATTTGTGATCTTGATAGGCCAAAAAGCTATTATAGCTAGAGGGAACATTGCTCGTGAAAGCTATATAGGCAATGACAAAACCACAGCTTGGTCCATGGCATTCCCATTCACAGTTTGAGCCTGTTTTTCTACAAGATAGAAATTTTCCAGCCAAAATCAGAATTTGAAAGTTTCAACTTTGGGCAAGTTCATTTTTGGCCCAGCTTCATTTGTAGTTGCGAGCTTCACTACCCGGTTCAAATCAAAATGGACATTAAAATCAGTGAATCATTAAAGACAAAAGTGTTTTTCCAACTTCGTATTAAAGCAGATAAAAGGCTTCAGTTTTATTGGGGGGATTTCGCGAAGATATAGATAAAGAGGTGATGCAGTTGTTTGAGTTCATTGACGCAATGGGGAGGAGTCCTGCCTGTAGTAAAGGGTAGTGCAAAAGGGAAGGCCTAAAATACTAATTGAGCGGGAAGCTGAAAGGATTGGAGTGGACTGTGAATTACAGAAGGAGACGGAGGGGGCTGGGGTGGGAAGAGTAAGGGGTTTGGGTCTTCACTCTTCAGTGATACATCATGAATTTGAAATAATTGGCTAGAATGTGAGGGGTTCAAACACCCCAGATAAGATGATGGTGGTCATAGCTCTCCTTAATGATTGGAAGGTTGATCTAATTACAATTACTTTCATGTTTTGGAAAATGTAAGGGGACAGTTTCTATAGAATCAATATAATTTAAACAGCTTGAGTAATGTTACTTCAATAAGTTGTTTACTAATACCAAGTAAAAATAAGAAGTTAGGGAAAAAAATACATACAAGCAAATAAACACACTAGGATACGTACATGCACGAAGCAGTTACTAACCTTGCGAAGGCAAAATGAACTCATTTTCTTCTGATAATGAATTAGTGAAAAGTGGGTTTTTCTCCCAAGACCAAAGAAAAATGGTGGTCAACAGAATAGAAATCAAAGTAAAAAAATAATGCCTCCCCAAAAATCTACTTATATTGCCTCCCTTCATCTCTGCATGAACACTCAAAAAACAGAACTCCGTCTCAGTCAAACCTCACAACACTGGCATGTTTCTGCTAGGTGAGGACTTCAAAGTTCTTCAAGTGAAAGATTTTTCAGAAAGAAACCCTCATTGCTTTTAGTTGCAAATTGTTGAAAACTTCAGCTGAGGACATTGAAAAAGGGAAAACAAATGATCAGCTTAATTAAGATTCCAAATAAAGTACATACATGCAGTGTATCTTTAGTCATTATTATACAGACAGTAGTTTTTTTCACCTTTTTTAGTTGGAGAGGTGATAAAAGCTATGGCATTGGGTCATTGACTAGAATGTTAACTGTAATTAGTTCCCTGGTTGAGGAATACTCGAGGCAATGTTCACAGATGGATTTTACTCACAATATTGAAATTTCGTGGTTGACTCATGAGCTATGTTACACAGACTCAGGTAAGTATCAGGTGCGGGTTCAAGTGTTAGATCTTCCTAAACCTAAATCTTAGGATATTGGATATGCATCCAAAAGTTGGGAATGGATAAGGGGATACATCTTAAACACACACACACATATATGTATTGCATATTGTATAATCTTCTTAGATCAGATGTTATACATTATTTAAAAATGTACTTCAAATAAAATAGGATTTAGGAAAACATAGAATTTACATAATAAAAATGTTTTCTTTACTACCAAATGCGAGTGTCTTCTTCTTCAAACATCATACAAAATTAGAGGATCCAAATGTTTATATTCGGTACGGGTGTTGGACACATATCCCCCATGTTTACCCTTGTCATATCCAGTGGACACAAGTATGATGGGAGAAGTAGAAAAGTCCATGTAACACATCTTACGAGTATTAATTTAGACAATTAAAATTCTTGGTTGACTCATCATTAGTATCCACTTAAACATTTAATGATACCAATGACTTAGATCTAAGAAAACGCAAACCCATGCAGACAAGACACAAATACAATAGGAAACAAGCACTCTGACATGGAAAATTCTACAAAGATATAACATAGCGATGGCTATATATAAATATAATTCTTATACACATCAATTACACAAACATATAAATTTGATTAATACTCTAAAATTTTTGTAGTAGGAATTTCATAATTTCAAGGATGAAACTTGACGAATTCATTTTGATTAGGGAAAACTTCACTTTATCCCCTTGTGGTTTGGGCCATGTGTAATTTACACCCTTCTCATTTGCAAATAACCACATAACCCTCATGTGGTTTGTGGATTAAAATGCACACTAACTTTGGTTAACAAAATATGCAAATTGACATAAATACCCTCTTCTTCTTTGACTCTACTAATTAAATCTTTATATATATATACTCTGTTTTCTTTTTCCCATTGCCGCAAACCCCACCCCGCAGCTCATATGCACCCCAGAAACCACCACCTGCAACCTTTCTACCCCATTCCACCCAAGAGACCACCACTTTGCAGCCTCCCCAAATATTATGCTGAACTGATTGTCAGGCTCATCCAAATCTTCTTCTTCATTTTTTTTCTTTTTTTTGAAAAAAAAATAGTTGACAAACCAAAGATAGCATCCATCCAAAACATCACTGAGCACAATCATCAACCCGCAGGGGTCCACAAGCCGAACATGAGGACTAGCCTTCCAAGTGCAGCAACCATTGCATTACACCCAAACCTAGCCACCGTATGAGCAACAACATTCTTGTTCCATCTTCCAAACTCCACTTGACACTCCACCAAATCAAAATACAATGGAACCGAACCAAACCACATGATTCTGTTTGGTTCGGTTCGGATTACCGGTTTGAACGGATTTTTGAACAGCCCTAAGCACAATCATCAACCCGCAGGGGTCCACAAGCCGAACATGAGGACTAGCCTTCCAAGTGCAGCAACCATTGCATTACACCCAAACCTAGCCACCGTATGAGCAACAACATTCTTGTTCCATCTTCCAAACTCCACTTGACACTCCACCAAATCAAAATACAATTTTTATGTGAAATCGTAACAAAATTCAAAATCAAAATCAAAATTTTAGTTAAAATGAAGTAAGGAGGACCTGCATAATTGAGTTGCAGAGATCATTATTACTATCCTTATCTTCTTTCTTTTATGAATTAAACCTAGATACGGATATAATATATATACATATACGCACATTTATTTAGTTAATCTACCTCTCTCACCCAACCACCCCCTCTAGCTATCTCCCTCACCACTTCCTCGCCATCATTTCATGCCACTTGTTCTCCACAATTTTCATTGACACCCAACAAATCTTCCACCAAATTAGAGGAAATTTTTTTTTTCCTTCTTCTAACCTACAAGAAAATGATTGTCCAATTATGTACAAAGAATTTTTCTATTTTTAATCAATTATATCTATCATACAATAGATCAAAAGTTGGTGTGGTAAAGTGGGTTGGAGTGAGGAAATAGAAAGAGAAATAGTAAAGAGAGAAAGAGGAAGAAGAATGGCATGTTTTTGTAAATTTAAGAATGTGCAAGGCGTATTTTGGTCTTAAAAAATAACCTACTCTCTTCATGGGCATGTGAACCTCATAGGCAATTAACTTGGACGGAAAAGTGGACGGTGCACTTTGGTCCACAAAACCAAACCACTTGGGGGTTACGTGGTCATGGCCAAAACCACAAGGGGGTGAAATTTGCCCTTCTGATTATTATGTATGTTTGACTTTACAATTTTGTTCTTTTATTATATAATAAGTGTCCATTGTTTGTTAGACTAGCTGCCATGTGATAGTTTCAATTTATGTTAAATAAAGAAACATTGTCCACTTTGGTTCGTGTTGGCATAGTATCCAAAATAGTAAAATTTATTTTACAATTACGAACACACTGATGAAATGTGTCTATAAGTGTCCATTTCAGACACTTGTGTTAAAATGTACCAAAACCTACCACTACACCTACTCCACCCACTTCACCTACTCTCCACCTACTCCTCACCTACTCCTCACCTACTACACACTCACCCTCTCCTATATATAGGAATCATTGTAAATACAACAAATATCAATCAATAATACAATTCTCTATTTTTTTTTATACATTCAATTTTAACATGGTATCAGAGCAGGTTTAGAACCTAGTATTTTCGCTTCCCCAGCGGGCGGCAACCTCACCTTAGCCGCCCGCCGGACCTCAACCTAATCCAAAATTGGGTACATTACACTTCAAGTTTAGCCCCTTGCAGTTAGGCCAAAATACATGGAACCCCTAAATTTACTTTGTGACATAAAACCCCTTGTGGTGAATACAAAGTAAAAAATAAATGGTTGTGATGGAAAAATTAAAACCACAATTAAGCTCACCCTCTCTAACCCCACAACCAACACCATCACTACCACTATCAATACCCAAAACCACAACCCCGAAACCACCATCACCACCACGGTACCATCAAACATCACCAGCCATCAACACGAGTCACCACCAGTGGCCCTCCTTGCTGCACCAACCTCCCCAACCCCGGTTGCTGCTCTCCCCTACCCCACTATTGTTCCTACCCCCAACCCATCGCACCCTTGTCGATCACTGCCAGTTCAAGTACCAATCCCGCTGTTCACTTTAGAAATGAGTAGCACAACAAGGCTCATAATCATATTAGACTACAGAGTCTACAAACCAACAAAGACTTTTGGCTCTAAAAGAAAAGAATATATATTTCAGTCAATTTTGTGCTTTCGATGGTTGGTAAAATTGGGTGGTCCTTGTTTTGGTGTATATGGTTGGGGTCTATGATCTTGAATCAACACATCAATTTTTTTAGTGATGAAAAGCTAATGGTGGTGGTTGCGTTGGTGAAATGGTGGATGAGTAGAGATGGTGTGGTGAGACAAGAAGAAGAGGAAGGAGAATAGTAGCCGAGCCAGACAGGGCTTCTTGCCTTGGTAGATGGCGGTGATGGTGAGAGATGACGAATGCAAAAGTTTACCACTCAAAAAAATGCACTGAAATCTCAATCTTTCTCTTTCTAAGAGATTTCTTCACTTGTGTTTGTGTTGTGGAAGATAGTGGTTAGGGAGGAAGAAGGAGACTACAGTGATAAGCAGAAGAAAGAAAGGAAAATGGGGGGAAATGTTTAAGGTTATAAATGTCATTTCACTATTTCAAAAATTCCAGTTTTAGTAAAAAATTCAATGTTTGGTGTGTCATGCTTATAAATTTTTAATTTATACAGAAAATGTCATTTTTTTTCACTGATATTCACCACATGGGGTTGTATCACAAATAAACTTCAGGAGGGCTCAAATATTTTTTAACCTGATCACAAAGAGGTAAAGTGTAATCTACCTTACCAAATTATACTTTCTTTTTATTCTTTCTTAAGCAATAGAATACAAAATCAGCACAGCGAAATTTGTATGCAGTCGACAAGGAATCATACCTACGTTTGATGATATGCTAGCACTTTGCCACCATAAACCCTCTTGCCAAGCATCATACATAAATTTAAATTCATAACTCCTATGAATGTCTAAGAAGAAGTTTTGTTCCCTTACATTGTCCCAAGTACAATTGCTACCTACAGTTTCTCAAATTCACTACATGAGACAGAACCAGCACCGACTATTATCTTTATTTTATCACATATTAGACAGATTTAGCACCCAAGATTGTAAACTTCAACAACTTCCCATCTTCACCATCCACATCACAACCATGTTTCTAAGTGAACCAAAATTATTAGGTATAATCCTAACCTAAAATCACAAATTGATAAAACATACAAACAGTAAAGTCTCACATTATTCTGATCATGAATATTAGACAGCATGAAAATTTATACTTCTTTCTAATAAGAAAATATATCCAAAATAATCCAATAATCTCTATATTAGAAGTAGAAAAATTACTCACATCTCATCTCATCACAAACTTAATTTTATATCTTCAGCACATAAATCAAACTTCTACAACCATTCTTCATGTCTCCTCCCAATCATAAAGTTCTGGTCCATATAAAATGAAATATTTTGGAAAACTTTAATTTTTTCTGGTATTGAGCTAGAAATTTCTAAACTAGTATACACAATTTTCAAATATGGTGCACAATCAACCATGAGATCAAATCAATTCAAATTCTACAATTAATAGACAAGAATGCAAGAGTCATATTCCATAAGCAGAAAGGTCAAACATGACAACTTCCAAAGACTAGAGAATAGTGAACAACTAAATTGAAGTGAATCATACTCAAAACAGCCTCACCCCACCATAATAGACTTACATGCATTGACCTCCTTAAGCTATTTGCAATATTTTTGTTCCATAATGCTCAAGAGACTACATGAAATAATTCAAATTGCAAACCCCATTTTTTTACTAAATGTAAATATTAATAAGCAGATAAAGGAAATTATTTATAATGCAAAAGATGAGATACCCATTGCCTAATCATTAAAAAAGATTAAATATTTATATTAAATAAATAAATAAACATAAACCCAGATAAATTTAAACATTCAAATAACACAACCCAGACTGCGGCATTCATTTATAAAAATTTAAAAAATAAAAGCATACACAAGCTTGAGAGATCTACTAAGAACCCAAAAAAGTATAAAAAAACAAAAAAAAAATTAAAAAACCTGCATTTCTTCAAATTTCTGCTTATCAATGGAAGTTCTCCTCCTTGTCTCTCCTGAGCGTTCCTAAGAATTAGCAGGTCTCATAGATCTATATATATATAGACAACATGACGGTGCAGTTTTGTGGTGAGAGGAAAGAAGGGAGAACGGTGTACTTCACGATTTGCTGTGCGAACCTCCACGGTAAGAGTCTGTGGGAACTCGATTATCAAGCAGTGGAAATATGACACTTACTTGGATGGAGAGGTGTTTTCGAAATTATGATATAATATGATGGGTTTTTTTGTAAAATTAAATATTTGTTATCTTATTCGAAATTGGGAATGAGGGACGTGGCGAGATATGATTTGCGATTGTACAAACCTGTGTTTGTGAAGCATTGAAAAAGACTGGGCTTGGAGATTAAATACAGTATCTGGGTGGAAAATTAAAAAAGATTAATAAATGCTGAATTAGATTCTCGCAAAAACAAAAATCTTACCTACCAACCACTACTTAATAATGTTGGCACATTAATGCCGGTGTAGTTTAAATAAATAAAATGTTTATTATATATAGTATGGATTTCCCTTATTTTCAGGTTTGTTTTGGAAATTAGGTAAAGTTGATTTTTTTATTTTTTTTAAATGTGTAAAAAAATAGAGCGACGATGTGACTTAAAAAAGTTAAAAAGTCTAAAGAAATACTTTTAACCTCTTTGCTAAGAAAATGTGTGAAAGTTTAATTGGATCAGACAATTGAGATTTTTGATTAGCAAGAGTCATTAAATGAAAAATAATATTTTAAAAATCGGATTGATAAACGAATCACAAAAGTAATTTGGTGAACGAGACACTATTTAACTACATGTAAACCGAAATTGAATCATGATATTATCAATAATTTTATAATATATTTATACAAAAAATCAAGTTAGAAGGAAATAAAGTCTACATATGCAATTAAATAAAATGAAGTATTAAAAAAATGATATAATATAATATCATGAATAATTTAGTAGATAGCATGTTACAATACATTCTGAAGGCCAGAGATTCGAATAATTTTGCCATCATAATATTTTGGCATGCCTTCTTTCAAACCCACTAAGGCATGTCAGCAGTTCAAATAGGCCAAAATGAATTTGTACCCAAAACGGGTATTTAGGTTACTCATATCGAAAATTGAGTCGGTTGATGTAATAACCCTCACCATTGCTTACCGAATGAACACTGATTACCATTGAACTGAACTGATTATGACTGATAATTGAACTGATTAAAGTACTGAACTGACTGATTAAAAAACTGGAACTGAATTGACTAAGTATGTATGTTAATTTGTATTCTATCTGTTTGATTGTTTACTTGATATGTTCACGTTTTATGTTTAAACTGCTAATTGAAGGCCTTATCATCGGCCGAACCGGGAATTTATTGATGTTTTATGATCCTCATAATTAATGTGATTTTATGGTGTATTTATCTGAAAACTGATTAGGTATGATTAAATTAGATTAAATATTGATGGATTGCAAGTTTTGGACTTAATCACCAAACTACCCCTAATGGACCACTATCTCACACACATTTGAGCCTTATACCTGATATGAACATTTGCTCAGCCATTTCTTTTGAGCACATCACCGACTAGAGAGAGGGAAATAGGGAGTTAGAGTGAATTCACTTTGAATTGCTTGGAAACTTGAAGAATTGCTTGGTAATTGAAAGTGTAGATTGCTAAATTGAGCTCCTAGTCTTGCATTGGAGACCTAAGGTAGAGTAATTGCCCTCTTGTTTATGAATTGAGCTAGTTCTTGCATGATTCATGCTTCATTGTAGAATTAAGTCATGTTTTGGTTCATTGTTGTTGAATTGAAGCTCAATCCTTGCATGCATGGGTGTATTGTAGATGTTGAGTTGCTTTTATGGCAAAATGTTACTTGCATGTTCACAATTATGTTTAAGTCCATGATTTCATCATGTTTTGGAAACAATTGGCTCCTTAGAGCATCAAATTGAAGCTTTGAATTGATTTGAATGCATGCATGTTTGCATGTTCATCCTGTTCTTGAAAATGGTTTGAAATTGGGTTTGAATTAAACACCCCTTGGGCTTTGATTTCTCAAAGTTGAGTTTTGAATCATGTTTAACTATGTGTTTACAAATGTTTTCTGGAAATTCAGCCCAAGAGGTCGAGTTTTGAGTTGTTAAAACTTGGTTTTTGGCTTGAAGGTGCAATATGGGTTTTCCAGATTTTGCACTTCCGCTCGAGCGGGGACTAGTGACGCTCGAGCGTAGAATCCGAGCATCCAGTATCTCTGCACTGTTTTACAGTCCGCTCGAGCGGAGGATTGGGCGCTGCATGTGTCTCACGATCGAGCGGGCGTCGAGCGTCCGTTGAGCGGAGATTTCACCCATCCAGTACTTTTACAGTACGCTCGAACGGGAAAGTTGACGCTCGAGCGTGTACCTTGTTGCATGTCCACTCGAGCAGGTAAAACCGCGCTCGAGCGGGACTCTGTTTTTCTGAAACTTCTGAAACTGCTTTTTGAGTACATCTTTGCATCCTCATCCCATTCTAGGCATTCTTAGATCAACCAGTGGAAATATGACACTTACTTGGATGGAGAGGTGTTTTCGAAATTATGATATATATGATGGGTTTTTTTGTAAAATCAAATATTTGTTATTTTATTCGAAATTGGGAATGAGGGACGTGGCGAGATATGATTTGCGATTGTACAAACCTGTGTTTGTGAAGCATTGAAAAAGACTGGGCTTGGAGATTAAATACAGTATCTGGGTGGAAAATTAAAAAAGATTAATAAATGCTGAATTAGATTCTCGCAAAAACAAAAATCTTACCTACCAACCACTACTTAATAATGTTGGCACATTAATGCCGGTGTAGTTTAAATAAATAAAATGTTTATTATATATAGTATGGATTTCCCTTATTTTCAGGTTTGTTTTGGAAATTAGGTAAAGTTGATTTTTTTATTTTTTTTAAATGTGTAAAAAAATAGAGCGACGATGTGACTTAAAAAAGTTAAAAAGTCTAAAGAAATACTTTTAACCTCTTTGCTAAGAAAATGTGTGAAAGTTTAATTGGATCAGACAATTGAGATTTTTGATTAGCAAGAGTCATTAAATGAAAAATAATATTTTAAAAATCGGATTGATAAACGAATCACAAAAGTAATTTGGTGAACGAGACACTATTTAACTACATGTAAACCGAAATTGAATCATGATATTATCAATAATTTTATAATATATTTATACAAAAAATCAAGTTAGAAGGAAATAAAGTCTACATATGTAATTAAATAAAATGAAAGTATTAAAAAAATGATATAATATATATATATATTTTTTTTTTGCATAATTAGCAACAAGTGCATGAATAATTTAGTAGATAGCATGTTACGATACATTCTGAAGGCCAGAGATTCGAATCATTTTGCCATCATAATATTTTGGCATGCCTTCTTTCAAACCCACTAAGTCACTAAGGCATGTCAGCAGTTCAAACAGGCCAAAACAAATTTGTACCCAAAACGGGTATTTAGGTTACTCATATCGAAAATTGAGCCGATTGACGATCTAGCCAATTCGGCTCGATTTTTAAAACCTTAATGGAAGATTCTTATTAGTAAGAGTTTATGAAAACATGGCACCATTAGTCCAATTGAAATTTCAACTAGAGACAAGCCATTCTCATATTGTGTATGTTCAATTGACAAGAGTTTTATTCATCAAATTCAATGTTCAAGTCTGATACTTCTCCTTTATTTAATATTTTTTGTTTTGAATGGAGAAATGGACACTTGGCATTAAAGAGGGATAGCTTTAGGATACCAGTGAGTTTGGCAAATAAACTGTTTGTTGGTTTATTTCTGTTGCATTGCCTCTCTATTTTTTTTACACTTCTTTTCGTAAAAAGTCAAAAAAAAAAAAAAAACTAATCACTCTAATTCCCTTTATCAACAATGCTACAGACTGACACTTTCATCATAATGATGTGGCAAGAGAGTTGGGTCCCATATCATTGAGTGTATAGTAAATCAAGAGTTGACACATATGATAACACATCATTGTGGGTACAATTATAGATTTTTTTGTAGGTCTTAAACATTTTCCTTCCCTTTATATAATAGTATTGTGGGTGTTAATTTTTCACCAGACAATCAAACAGGAAACTTAGCTGCAGAGCACGCGGCAGAATAGACTAAGCCAACCACCTGCCAACAAGAAAATGAGAATACTGTGGTGGTTCATCCACCCGGGGCCACTCCGACGATCAAGTCAGCATACTTATCTCTCAAAAATATCAAATAAGTACTCAATGCACAAGTCAAAGCATCACAAATAAAAGAATATCTTATACCCACAGGGGTACCTCACTTTTATAATGGTCAGTGTCCAACTTCCCCTAGAAGTCTCACTTCATAGGACTTTATCCTTTACAAGGATAATATCTATCACAACTCACACTATTCAGATTAAAATGAATTTCCTTAAGAGTCTCATCTCTATCCAAATAGGTAGTTTGATGTCATCTAGGACTCTAGTCCTCTATCCAAATATCTTGAATTCTGGTATTACCGCACCATATCTCAGTACCATGGTTGCCCACGTGGCACCATGGCTAACAACCTGAGCTACGTGGACTACTCAAAAAATGTCCCCATAACTGCCCCCTAGGTTCTATTACCTCGGCAACCTGAGGTAATGGAACCTGCATCGTTACATCTTCCAACATGTCGGCTAAACAACATGCTAGATATACTTTTTCGACCAAAATCATGACTTACCGACGTAAAGAAACAAGGACTCAAATGTCCACTCGTCAAAAATTAAGAACCAAGAACCATCATGTTCTCTCTTATCCAGGTCCAACATCTTGACAGAGATCGCACTATTAGCAGAGATCATGACTTGTTAGTTCAAGAACATCAAGATCCTAGTATCAACTCATCAGGAACCAAGAATAACATCTCAACCAAGATCACATGTCAATCAAGATCAACATCTC